TTATTTATAATAAAATTATAATTAAAGGTAAAGAACTTAAATATAAAGTTAAATAAATACTTTAAATAAAATTTAATAAAAAAACCTAATAGCTAAAATATCTTATAAAATAGAAAAATTATAATAAAGCTAATAACACTTAAGAACTTATTAAGCATCTTAAATACTTAAAGGCCCTAGTTAATAATTTTTATTAGCAGTTAAACCTGCAAAGGTTAATAAGGAGGGATTTAATAAAAATTAGTCTTAATTAATAAGGTTAAAAAAAGAAGTTAAGATATTAAAATTTATTAAATTAGGCATAGATGCTATTGCCTAATAAAAGGCCTCTGCCTCTTTATGCTTAATATAATCTAGCTCTTCTAAATTTATAATACCCTGCGTAATAGTATAATATATCTTTTTATACTAAAGCTTCTTTTATTTTTATAATTAATTAATTTTAGCATTTACTATATAGCGCTTTTCTTTAGCTGCTTTTAATTTATCTTTAAGACAGTAATAATAAGCAGTAATACGCTCTAGCTATGCAGAAGAAAGCCCTTAAATATTATAATAGGATTTATTTAGTTAAATACACTTTAAATAATAAGAAGAATTAATAAGAGACACTAGGCACTCCTTATAGCTTTAAGAGATATAAAAAGAGCACTGCTTATTTATTAAAATAGCGTTTCTAATAATAAATTAAAGAAGACTTTTATATTTTTAAGTTTTTAAATAAACGCTTTTAGTAATATAATCTAGTATAATAAAAGTAAGTTAGTATAAATAAAATAAAAGCATAATAAATAAGAAAAGAATAGGAACTTATAAAGTAAGGGACTTATAGAATTATATAAGGTAAGTAAGGTCTTAAGGATAAGACTAGCAGGAGGGGGATATTATATTATAACCTAACACTTATAGTTATAACTAAGGACTACCTTTAGTAAATAGTACTAGATAAATATTAAGCTAACTAACTAATTAGGAATAGATTATTAAATTATTAAGATAATCTATTAATCTAAAAGGGATTATTTAAAATTATTAATAATCTATTACTAGATTATTTAAATAATAAAATAATCTAGATAGAATAACTAGCTATATAAGGATTTATTTATAATACTTATTTAGATATTTTAAATAAATAGTTATTAATATAGTAATTAGATTAGAATTAGTTTACTATAATCTACTAGCTATATAACTATTTACTATGCCTAAGACCTAACCTAACTTTCTGCTAATATAAACCTAAATAGCTCTCTTATTAAAGCTATTTACTTAAATAGTTTATCCTTTAGGAAATATATATTCTTACTAATTATAAGAACGCTAGTTTATTATATAGAGCTATTTACTTAAATGGTTTGTCTTTTAAGAAACATGTGTTCTTATTAATTATAGGAATGCTAGTTTATTATATACTAGTGACTATTATTTACTGTTATCCTTCTTTAATAGGCTATAGTAGAACTTCTTAATATATCCTTTCTTTTTATAATTAAAGCATTTAATATTTTATTAATTATACTTCTTCTAGTTAATAGTATCTAAATTTATTAAACTAGGCTTTTTATTATTACTTAAGGCAATATCTTATTTTTTCCCTTAATTTATAAAGTATCTTTATTAAAAGGGCTTATTATTCCCTTATTTTTCTAAACTTTATTTCTTATATTACTTATATAGTTAATTATTAATTTAAGTTGCCTTTTTTAAGAGGTTCTTAAATATATTAAGGAGTTTATCTTATATAAGTTTATCCTTTACTTTAGATTTTAGTCTTTAGTAATATAACACTCTCTTTAAGGCATTATTTATATCTATTTTAGCATTAATTTATATAAATTCTATAGTAAACTTTAAGCATAATCCCTTTTATTTAAGACTAAGGAGCTAGTTCTTAGCTTCCTTCTTCTTATTAGTAGCTTTAAAAATTATCTTAAGTTACTTTTTAAATTCTATATAGCTAGTGTAAATAGTAATAGTAGTGGCCTTGCATTAAGTTATATTATTAATAGTGGCTTTAAAGTCCTGTTAAAAGGGTTTAAACTAATCTTTTACTATTTTATTAAGTTATAAGGCAGTAACACTTACTTTTATCTTATTAATAGCTATAGTTATTAAAAAGTACTTAAAGTATGCTCTTATATTTATAAAGAATGCTTTAGTCTTTTTTATATCTTTATTATATATAGCTAGCATTAATAGCTTAATAATTTCTCTAGGTTGCTTAAGCATAGTAACGTTTTAAGCTAGAGGATTTATAACTGGTTATTAAACTAGTGTAGGTTATATAATAAGAGCATGCTGTTATTAGTTAAGTTAAGCTTATAAGACTATAATCTTATCTTATTATTAAATACATTCTTAGTTTATTTATTAAACTAAGGCTTTAAGAGCTATAAGTTATTAAAGAGCTGCATTTTTAGCTACTTACTTAAGGTTTATTTATATTAAGGTTACTATATTAACTTATTACTATTACTTTTAAGTAACACCTCCTTATAAGATATTGCCTAAGAGTTTAAGGCAACTTCTTAAATAAGAGTTATTAATATATAATAAACTAGCGTTTTTATAATTAGTAAGAATATATATTTCTTAAGGGATAAACTGTTTAAGTAAATAGCTTTAATAAGAGAACTATTTAGGTTTATATTAGTAAAAAGTTAGGTTAGGTCTTAGGCATAGTAAATAGTTATATAGCTAGTAAATTATAGTAAACTAATTCTAATCTAATTACTATATTAATAACTGTTTATTTAAACTATCTAAATAAGTGTTATAAATAAATCCTTATATAGCTAGTTATTCTATCTAGATTATTTTATTATTTAAATAATTTAGTAATAGATTACTAATAATTTTAAATAATCCCTTCTAGATTAATAGATTATCTTAATAATCTAATAATCTATTCCTAATTAGTTAGTTAGCCTAATATTTATCTAGTACTATTTACTAAGGGTAGTCCTTAGTCGCAACTATAAGTGTTAGGTTATAACATATATATTAAGGGCAACCCTTGTCGCGACCTTAAGAGCTAGGTTATAACACTAAGGCCTATATACTTCTTATTATAAATTATAAATTTTATATTAAAGTTATAAGCTTATTACTACCTTACCTTATATAATACTATAGTAGCTATAATAAAGTTAAGATATAATATATATACTTACTAGCTATACTATATTATAATTATAGCTAAAAGTCCTTAAAGTATATATATATAAGCTTTTACACTTTAAGAAGTACTTTATTATATAATTATATATAGTGTATTAAGGTGCCTGCTAACTAGAAGTGAGGTGCCTTATAATCAGACCCTTTTACTACCTATATTGCATATCTCCTAGCACTTGCCGGATTTTCTCAGGCAGCTCTCAAAAGTGCTGCTCCACATTGCCCCTTTCGCTTGCAGCTCGGAACCACGGCACCGTTTAACATGCCATAGGCTGCTAGTTTCCTTCCAGTACCTGACTCGACCTTCCGGTTGAGGAGAAAGATAAACAGAACTTCTGCTAAGACCGCGGGGTAGCGGGAATCGTAATCTTGCATCTGTGCCAAGTTCTGATGTTTTGTCCGACCCCTGCGTATATATCCCGGCGCAGCATCCAATCCCTATGGCTACCCAGGCATCCGCGAGTACTTTGTGGTTAACCATAATATCCATTGCATCATTAGGTGGAGCGATCGCATCGGTTTCTTCGAATAGAACACCAACTATTCCGAGCTGACATGGAATAGCTTTAAGGGGTTCGAACTCGGTATGTATAAATGAGCCCCTGGAGTATCAGCCGCCAAAGCCCAGCCAAGTTCTCTGCTCGATTTCCATCTACTGCCATCCTTTCAAGTACCATGGCAAAATTAAGCACTCTTCGGCTGGCGAGCCTTCTCTCCCTTGCCAGTGTGCAAGTATCTGCCGCTGTGCATCTCTTGGAAAGTCTTGAGAAACTGCCTCATGGATGGAAAGCAGCTGAAACCCCAAGCCCCTCGTCCCAAATCGTTCTACAGGTCGCTCTGACGCAGCAGAACATTGACCAACTTGAATCGAGGCTTGCAGCTGTCTCAACGCCCAATTCCAGCACATATGGCAAATACCTAGATGCTGATGAAATAAACAACATCTTCGCTCCAAGCGATGCCAGCAGTGCTGCCGTGGAGTCTTGGCTCCAGTCTCACGGCGTGACGAGCTACACCAAGCAGGAGAGCAGCATTTGGTTTCAGACCAATGTTTCCACTGCAAACACAATGCTTAGCACCAACTTTCACACGTACAGTGATCTCACTGGCGCGAAGAAGGTGCGCACTCTCCAGTACTCAATCCCGGAGAGTCTCGTCGGCCATGTCGATCTCATCTCACCCACGACCTATTTCGGTACATCCAAAGCCATGAGAGACTTGAAATCCAAAGGCGTCAGTCCAGCTACCAAAGCTCTCGCCGCCCGTCAAGAGCCGTCCAGCTGCCAAGGAACTTTGGTCTACGAGGGAGAAACGTTCAACGTCTTCCAGCCAGACTGTCTCAGAACGGAGTACAGCGTTGATGGATACACCCCGTCAGTCAAGTCTGGCAGCAGAATCGGATTTGGTTCTTTCTTGAACGAAAGCGCAAGTTTCGCAGACCAAGCTCTTTTTGAGAAGCACTTCAACATTCCCAGTCAAAACTTTTCCGTTGTTCTCATCAATGGTGGAACGGATCTCCCTCAACCGCCTTCCGATGCCAACGATGGCGAGGCCAATCTAGACGCCCAGACCATTCTGACAATTGCACATCCTCTCCCCATTACCGAATTTATCACCGCTGGCAGTCCGCCATACTTCCCCGATCCCGTTGAGCCTGCCGGAACACCCAACGAGAACGAGCCTTACCTGCAGTATTACGAGTTTCTCCTATCCAAGTCTAACGCTGAAATCCCCCAAGTCATCTCAAACTCCTACGGCGACGAGGAACAGACTGTGCCGCGATCATATGCTGTTCGAGTGTGCAACCTGATAGGACTCCTGGGACTTCGTGGTATTTCCGTCCTTCATTCCTCGGGCGATGAGGGCGTGGGCGCTTCTTGTGTCGCTACCAACAGCACCACGCCTCAGTTTAACCCCATCTTCCCTGTATGTGTTCTGCGTCAATATCTCTGACGTCTCTTTGCCTTTGCTAACAATTCTGCTCTGCTCCTGCTCATATAGGCTACTTGTCCCTATGTCACTAGTGTTGGAGGAACAGTGAGCTTCAATCCTGAAGTTGCCTGGGACGGTTCGTCTGGAGGCTTCAGCTATTACTTCTCCAGACCGTGGTACCAGCAGGAAGCTGTGGGAACTTACCTCCAGAAGTATGTCAGTGCCGAAACAAAGAAGTACTATGGACCCTATGTCGATTTCTCCGGACGAGGCTTCCCCGATGTTGCAGCCCACAGCGTCAGCCCCGAGTAAGTCCTATCTCCATCCCACCACAAAATGAATGCTAATTCGGCATAAAGCTATCCTGTGTTCCAAGGCGGCGAACTCACCCCAAGTGGAGGCACTTCTGCGGCCTCTCCTGCCGTGGCAGCTATCGTTGCGCTGTTGAACGATGCACGCCTTCGCGAAGGAAAACCCACGCTTGGATTTTTGAACCCGCTGATTTACCTCCATGCTTCCAAAGGTTTCACCGACATCACGTCGGGCCAATCTGAAGGGTGCAACGGCAATAATACGCAAACAGGCAGCTCTCTTCCAGGAGTAAGTAGAATAATATAACGTTCAGCGGACGCAAAAACTAACGTTTGGATAGGCTGGCTTTATTGCAGGGGCACACTGGAATGCGACCGAGGGCTGGGATCCTACCACTGGATTCGGTGTTCCCAACTTCAAGAAGCTACTCGAACTCGTCCGATTCTAATAGGCATGGGGTGAAATGTAGGGCGTAGGCGGAGTTGCTTGCTGTGGGAGATGACTTCGATGATCACCAAAATATTACATACTTTACGGCAATATTATCCTCTGCCTACCTGTTGACATAGACCTGCTCGAATTCATTGTACCCAGCGTAATTTCTACTGGTGCTAAATACATACATATATGTCTCTGCATCTCTTTTCAAATGCCTCAAGCGCCCATGCATGCTTACCCGTATGGCTATGCAAGGAAAGGTCTCAATGGCGCAGAGGACACGCCTTAAGTGGTGAAGTCATAGCTTATATTCTGTGGTGCGATATGCAATGCAAATTTGCAGGATTGATCCAGTGGCAGGGACAAAACGCATGACAGACCCAAGCCGTCTGTTGTATGCATGATAAATTGGCTGCTATAGAAACCCAACCGCTTTCGTAATTGGCGCAGTTGGGTACTCAGTCACACTGTCGGCTGTCCCATCCCACAAGCGCAATCTTGTATTCACAGTCAATTGATAACTTTGAACATTATCGTGTAGGTATGGTCGTACGAAGTATGATGACAAGCGCCATGGTGGCTTCGCGCAAGCTTCCCAGGATTCCCAGACACTGGGTGATGTGACTGGGAGCACCAGGAGAGTCGTAGCCGCGATGAACACAGCACTAAGCAACACTGATATATATGCGTGTATTTAATTGCTCATTTTACAAGCCCAACATGCTCCCACAAGGCATCAATATTACATTAACTGGCCAATTGTTGCAACCTCATGCTCTGCCTATAGCAAATCAAGAAAGTCGATGCCCGATCACTGTATCTTGGGTATCGGACGGCTCGATCGACGCCTCCCGTAGCCAATGTCAAGAGCTTACTACACAGCTGTGTAACGGTAGAACACGCAGGTGACAATACATGTCAACTCTTAGGCAGCTAAGGTAGGGAATTGTCGGGCTGCAAAACATCCAGGGCCCGACTATGAGATATATAAATGGAGTTGACTGCCATTTTGCAAAGAGAATGGCGACTCTTCCTATCTCGACTAAGGTTCAAGATAGACCGACTACCGTTATGGCAATGTTGGTTACAGAGCCCGCCTCCGTGCTTTCCACCGGAGTGGATAATACACGACTGGAGTATTCGTGAGTATACGAACTGGTACAGGCTCGTCATGAGTACATATTTTATTAATTCTGAGAGTTATAGCCCATATGCGATCCCCAATGTCACCTTGCAGTTGAAGGATGGCAGTCGACTGTATGTGCCGGCTCACTTGCTTGCGAAGAGTGAGACGTTCTCCTCTCCAGGTCAAGACGGCGTATACCAACTCGACATTTCTCATGACGTGGCTCATGTGCTTGTCCACTATCTATTTACCGAAAACTATCAGTGTCTGAAGCCGAAAGGCTCGTCGCTAAACGAAAAGCTCGCTGCCGAGTTCATAACGAGCATTCACGTTTACATCGCCGCACGAGAATACAAATTGCCGCTGTTGGAAGAGCTTGCGAAAACCGACATCATCAAGCTTGGTAATGACTTCCGCACTCCCTTGGTGTTCGACCTTGTGCAAAAGGCGTATCCGAGCCCCAGCGTGGATGATACATGGTTCCGCCAATATCTCAAGAATCGTTTGAGCATTTTGTTCACCGATACAAAAGAACTACTGGAATGGAATCCAATTCCTGATGAAAAGCCCACGACGATCAGTGAAATGCTTTTGAAGAACTTGCTCGAGCTACTTCGCGAAAACGTCATTTCGGGCGACAAGACGTCGAACGGGATACTCCCCCAGCCTCATCAAAGCACTGCCGAAGGAGAGTCAGAACCTGCGCCAACTAGACAGCCAGTACAGCTAGATGAGTCAGAAAAGGCTCATGCGTTAGTCGCAGATGCCAAGGTTTCCAATGGGCCTGTGAAGCATGAAGTGGAAGCGGACAACGATAAGAGAGACGCAGCAGATCTCGATGTCGGCCTGGACAAGGGCGAAACTAGCATTGCCAAAAGCGACAGCGAAGTGGTCAAGAGCGACACCGGCACAAGCAAGAGCGAAGATGAGATAACGAAGAATGGTGCACAGACTCCGGTATCTAAAGCAGATTCATGCGAGCCAGAGATTGTGAGGGTAGAGCTTCCCGGCCATGGACTTGATCATGTGGTCAAGCCCACCGTGGAGAACAAAGATGAGAAAGACTTCTGGGGACTGAGTCTGAAAAAGAAGAAGAAGAAGAAGGCCACGAAAGCCTTTGTACCTGAACCGCTGCAGGAAGGGGTGACTGTCAAGTCTTAGGATGGACTGGCATCATGAGACAACCAAGGACCCAGATCGGAGGACATGAGGGCGGATTGAAAGAGCCAAAGAAAGTGCAACGGTGGCTCAGGAAATGTTATCCATCTGCCGTTTATTATTTAGTCTATGCTTTAATCATCTATTTCCTATGTACCTATATCGAACTTTATATATTGGATTGTCGAATGCGGAAATATGTGCGACCTATGACAGGTTGTACTGTGATGGTGTGTTCTGAAAGCAAGGCTTGAAAGCTGTCCCCGACTCTAACTCCAAATTACTACGCTACTGATAGCTCCCATAATCTTAACAGAACACCTGCTGTCAATAAGGTGATCGAATCTAAGCGGCAATAGACAAACACCTATACTAAGGCAGCATCTGGTAGACTTAGACAATACGTCTCATACAAGCAATGGTTGAGAGACCATTAGTATGAAGGAGTGAGCTACTGAATAATCTTTGCATCGATTCTTCGTAATCACACCTTACAAGAGTGAAACTATGTGGTACCGACAAAGTTCTTCGACTTCTCTCTTTGATAGCTTGAAAATTCTAGTGCTACACACCTGTAGCACCCAATTATCCTAGCAAAGGCTCACGAGCATGTACACGACATAAAGACGGTATGTATGTGAACGGTGGGATGATTGAGGTGTCATAAGTCCTCAAAATCGTCGAACGTAAACCGTAAGGAGTGAAGTATAACCGCTGGTCAGAGAGGGGGACACAACGCTGCCGATTGACAACTTGGTTACCGTCAAAGCTAGTCATAATCCTGGAATCGGAAATAAACATTCACAGATACTCGAGTCTACAGCCCCCTCCGATTTCTGATAAGGAGAACAAGACTCTTCGATTGCTTGGGTTCCATGCTTCTTAGGCATATCCTAGATCCCGTCACAAAACGGGCGACTAAAATGGTGAGATAGATAGACCGTAAGCCGATCTCAGGTCCGATATGGAGATACCAAGCACCGCGGAGCAGGGCCCGCGGGGAACACATTGCAGATCAAGCTACAAGCATGAGAAGAGATGGCACATGATAGCTCGTATTCTTCAAAATAGGACAGCGCTTGATCAAGTTGGGAGGAAGGCTGGGGCAGGGGTCGTGATAAGGAGTTTTCTTCAGTTTTACAAGGTTACGGTGGAGACTCCTAAGAGAGCCCCTGTGCATTCCTCGATTGGGGCACGAACTGTAACGAAGTACGCCTTTTCGTAAGGTAGCGTAGGGCCCTGTTTTGCCGAGGCATCTTCTTGGCGCACGGCAGTCGAGTTTGATCGATCGCGGGGTTCCATGGTCAAGTAAGTGTGCATTCGCTGGCTGAGGATGGAGATTGACTAAAGCACACCCTGATGCTGACTCGGGGGATATCAAAACCACATGAGGCATGCGACTTCCAGGGGAAATCCTCACTTGCATTGCGGAAATTCTGATCATCAGCGTTAACCTTCATCATAAATGTGCCTTCGCTCGCTTTAACAAAGCTTATGGAATCTTCAACTTATAACGCTGGACGCACTCGAGCCGTGACGAGCAGCAGTGGTACTGCGTGTGGACATGAGAGCAGTGGCTTCCGATTATCCGGATACCTTCCTGATATGATGCGCGCTTCCGTCAGTATCCCTGCCACAGACTGTAAAGATCATGATGTAACGAGCGAGTTTATGCACATGATTACCATCAATACATGTCTTAACAAACTAAACTTTAGGGCGGAGTCTTTAGAACTTTTTAGATAAACTAATCTTATGCCAGTCGGCTTGTCTTTCTTGCATACCAGCTCGTGTGACTTGTTATCACATCGCATATACTATCCTATTGCTGATTAATCTTGCAGGGAAGGAACAGCCTTCTTAAACTTCCTAAACCAAGACTAAATCCTAACGGATAGATGCGAACTCAAGGCAGCGATGAAAATATGGCCCTTGATCGTATCTGCAGTACTTTTGTAGTCAAGATACCGAATCAGGAAGGAGTTCGCCTCTCAGCAACTGAGTCGGATTGCAAGTGTTCCCGAATCACGATGTTGAGTCAATGTGGTGATGATATTCCCCAGTTTTCTTGCGCCAGTGAAGGAGAGAGGTTGCGCGCGATGAGACCGCTATAGTCGTTATCAGGACTTCACCGGGCGGGGGAACACACGGGCTTGGAATCAGGAAGGTGACTTTGGTTCTCTCGAAAGGCCTCATGACAACTTCAGTCTCGGGTTCTTCGATGAAGAAGTGAAGTTGTATGGACTGGCGAAGTTCTATAAGAACTAGCCTTGCTCCAGGCCTTTGCTGAAGAATAATTCCCATCGTTTCCCAAGCATCCAGCCATACACGAAGAATCAAGACAAGCGGGTTGTCATCAAGATGAAGATCAGCCTGATCGTCCTCAACAGCCTCTTGGCTGGTGTCATCGCGGTCCCAACTGGCTCTCAAGTGATTCATGAGAAACGAGATACCAGCAATGCTCGATGGATCAAGCGCGGGGAACTTGATCCCAATACCAAGGTTCCAGTCCGCATCGCCTTGAAGCAAAACAACCTCGACAAGGGCATGGACTATCTCCTTGATGTGTGAGTATCTCGCGGAATACTATGCACCTCACACATTTTGAGCTAACATCCCATGTCAACGATAGGTCTCACCCAGACTCTGCAAACTACGGGAACCACTACACGGCCGACCAGGTGGTCGATCTGTTCGCACCCAGCGAGGAGTCGATATCGGCTGTCAAGGCCTGGTTGGTTAACTCTGGCGTTCCCGCAAAATCGATCACCACCTCTAAGAGCAAAGGGTGGCTTGACTTCACGACAACGTCTGGGCAGCTCGAGTCGCTGCTCCAAACCTCATTCAACACCTATGATCACGTCGAGGCAAGAGATGTCCACGTCGGCACAGACGAGTACAGTCTGCCAAAAGAAATATCTCAACACGTTGACTTCATCACTCCGGGTGTTGTTTTCGCCCCTGTAAAGACGTCTTCTACAAACGAAAAGCGTGGACAAAAATCCATTCGCCGCGCCTCCAAGCCTCTTCCAGCCAGTATTGCGCAGATCCTCAAGGAAAACCCTCGTAAGCCTACTACATGAGAACAGATTAAAGGTCTCAAGTACTGACGTTTCATGTAATACAGTTGCCACATCGACATGCGGCTCTGCCATTACCCCGCAATGCATCAAGTCGATGTACAACATCACGGCTGGAACCTCGGCCACTTCCACAAACGCCCTGGGCATTTTCGAAACGGAAGATACCTATGCGCAACAAGATCTCACCTTGTTCTGGGAGAACTTTGCCACCAACATCCCATCATCTACGGGGCCCAAGGTCGACGAAATCGACGGCGCTACTGCCCCTACAAGCCCTTTCAGCGCCGGCGGAGAATCCGACCTAGACTTCGAGATCGCCATCCCCATCATTTACCCTCAGAGCACAGTTCTCTACCAGGCTGCCGTTAAGAATGATGACATCTTTAACACATTCCTCGACGCTATTGATGGAACTTACTGTACCTTTTCGGATGATGGCGAGACGGGCGATGACCCTACTATTGACGGCACTACCCGAAACGAGCAGTGCGGAACTTTCAAGCCCACCAACGTCATCTCATTCTCGTACGGCACTGCAGAGGCTGACTACCCTACCTACTATCTCCAGGTCCGTAGCCCACCTGCTCTATACTCGTCTTGCCCTGTTCCTTGATAGCTAACCGAGTCTGCAGCGCCAATGCGACGAATTCATGAAGCTCGGCCTCCAAGGTACGAGCATTGTCTTCGCCAGTGGTGATGATGGTGTTGCTCGTCGATCGGGCCCTTGCCTCGGCCCAAAGCAAAACATCTTCACTCCGGGTGAGCCTGCTAGCTGCCCGTACGTGACATCAGTTGGTGCTACAACTCTTCCGTCCGGTAAACAACCCGGCGATCCAGAGACTGCCGTTACATCCTTCTCTTCCGGTGGTGGCTTCAGCAACATCTGGACCACACCAAGCTACCAAGCCAATGCCATAGCATCGTAAGTTAGCCGGATGGTGCTCAATAAATACCGAATCTATGACTAATACAAGAATTCAGTTACTTTGCCAGCCACGACCCTGGCTATGCTTCCTACAACACTTCCGGCGGCGTGATCCCCACCACTGGCGGCATCTACAACAAGGCTGGTCGTGGCTATCCCGATGTTTCCGCTGTAGGTGACAATGGTGTCGTTGTCAACCGGGAAGAGGAGGTGATTGAAGGCGGTACCTCCATGTCTGCGCCTCTGTTCGCTGGCATTCTGACCCGAATCAACGAGGAGCGTATTGCTGCCGGCAAGAGCCCAATCGGTTTCGCCAATCCTGCGCTTTATGCCAACCCCTCCATGTTCCACGATATCACTGTGGGGAACCAAGCAAAGGGTGGTCCCAACGGTGATGGAGGCGCCAGTGCTTGTGGCAACACGGGGTTTTCTGCTGTTGCTGGTTGGGATCCAGTTACAGGACTGGGAACACCCAACTACCCTGCTTTGCTGGAGTATTTCCTCAGCCTCTCCTAATCAATGGTACTTTTAGCTGGAGAAGAGTGCAAGGACTCGCGGGTAGGGTAAATATGCCAGCATGAGCGGAGAGACGCGGAAAATTTAAGACCCAATAGGCCATATGTAGTTTGCAGCACTTAGGTAGCAAGCAACCAAGAGAGCAGTGTTGTTTTCTTCTGACCTGAAAAACTCATAAATACCACGTCCGGTTTTGTATTTGATACCTCCTATAATTAATCCTACCGGCCACCATGTGCCTGAGCTGTCAGTCTCCAAATTCCCGACGGCATCCAGGTTCAGGCATGCCCTTAATTGTAGCGATTGGATTTATGTGTACATGTTATTTCAGCTACAGCTATGACTACCTTACCTGAGAAGTTCAAGTGACATCTAGAAGCGCATAAGCAGATAAATATCTGTAAATAAGGGCTATAACTATATATAATTGGTAGAGTATTGCCGAGAACTATATACAACTTTATACATATATACAAGCTGCTTTCGAGATGCATCATCCTTTATATACAAAGCTTGGATCGACTCAAGCATCCACAAAGTCCCTAACGGCGTCGGCGAGTAGCTCTCTCAGATCGTTGGCTGACAGAGCGGCGCTGGTTCACAGGGCCGGTGGGCTGGCCAGGAGCGTTGGTGTCGAAGTCGTAGAGTGTCTCGTCAACAATCTCCCAAGAGATGTCAATGTGGCCGGCGAAGCATGCGTTGCTGTTGAGCTCACTGAGGACGGTGTAGCTGAAGTCCAATCCAGGGGCGCCGTTAGGGTTCCAGACAGTGTTGGTGCTGGAGCCAGTGCCGCATCGTTGACATCCATCACCAATAAACAGCGGGAGGTCCGACGTGACGCCATTGGCAGTGACAATAACTCGCTTTCCACAGTACTTGGCAAGGTCGCCAGCAATCTGCGTGTGGTTCATAGCAACGATGTAGTTGCTGTCAATTTCATCGAGAGAAAGGCCCGTCAAAAAGTTGCATTCGACAAAGCCCAGGTTCTGGTTGGCGAAACTGGTACCGCAGGCCTCTACTTGCTCAACGTCGTAGTAGTAGGTTCCAAATCCAGTTCCGCTGTCAATAACAGCCTGGGAGAAAGCAGAAGCGGCAAAGAGGCCGATGGAAGTAAGAATTTGACTCTTCATCTTTGCGATATTTGAGCAATTGATAAGACGTATGGCAGCTCGACTAGCTGTGAAAATGCTTGTAAAGAATGTCGTGGAATATTTGCAGTAGAATGTTCCGAAGGAGTGTGTTTGTCTGGTAGGGACTGACTGGCGCTGCTGAATGAAATCCTTTTCGTGACAGGAAAAGCCCTACTTATAGATAAAACAACAGTCTCATCCTACTTGGTGAGAACCCATACAAGCAGCAGATGGATGCTTACCAGAAAGCAGACTACACACGCGTGAAGTGCAATACAACGGGCCGAAATACCGAATATTGTTTCTGCTGCGGCGAACTCGAAGGCATAATTTTGAAGCTGTCGTCTGATATAAGCACTCTATAGGATTCGTCCTGCCAAATCTGGCAGCGGACAGGCATCGTGTTTACACTAAGCCCACCCGAAGTGGACATTTGTTTAATTACAAGTTGCCTGGCTCATGTATTATAAGCCTCGTGTTTCAAGACTCTTGTTATAATGGAAGGTGAAGGACGAGATTACACCAGAACGATACAGAAGGAATATTTTTCCCAATATTTACGGCACGTCATTGCCGGTCAAACGGCATGATCAGACAATTCCCCAAGCACTAGGTATGTCTCTCTCTATACGCATCACAAAGCTTTCGACTCCTATACCCATGTTCTTACTAGGTAGCGTATTTACGCACTGCGAAGTCCGCATCGTTAAGTAAGGTATATATAGAGGGTATGCGAGAAGTTGGCCCTGGCTTGGATGTATTACCCTCACACAATTGGATACATGTGAATACCTTACTATGCATTACGCAAGTCGGTTTGCGACCGTCCAACCACTGATAATGCTGATGGCTTGAATGTCCTGTCTTTAGAGACGACTACATCTCAGCCTTGCGTGCATCCCTATACCACCTTACTCATGCGCATCATTCAGGGTCTTAATCTAAATGGCAGGAAGTTGCAGCACTAGTGGGATCGCATCTGACGAGCGCTTGACTTTAGCTCCGCCGATCATATAATCCATACGGAGTACATAAACCAAGTTCCTCGCCCTGTCTGGATCAGAGTTCTTCTTGCTTCTTGTAGTCGAGGCTAGAATTATTGCAGAAAACTTATGTCTGTTATATTGAAGATTTATTATGCTTAGAGCTCAACCTCAAGGAAGGTATGATAGACTTTGCATTCATCTCATGTCCTAGAGGGAATTGCAGCGCCCTAGGTGTATACTATAAGACAATTACCTCATACGTATGACCTATAGTCTGTGACATCTATTATCTCTCTGTACTCTATAATGCTAACATGGTCTCTAGAAGCCGTTATGGATGTTTTTTTTTTTTTTTTTTTGCATCTTTTACACGTCCTGGAGGTGCTGCTGTAAACCATACCTCCTATCACCGCAAATGGCTCTTGGCAGAAAGTCAGCAACGCTAGAGGTTAACGTGTATGGAATATCGCGAAAGCACGAAGGGTTCATGTTCCTCCGAATCTCAAGCTTAGGGTTATGTTACTACACGATGCGATTTATATCAATTATCCTAATAGAGCATGCATAATTTCAAGGCATGATTACATAAGTAGGAGTTCTCATATCTCATATACTAAAGATCCAGAACCTCAGGAGTAACGCTTCACTGCGCGCTGGAAAGCTAAGTACTATAATGGTTCTAACGACAGTGTTCGCGTTAGATGCTGGAACTTCCGAAAAGGGGACTCCTGGATAAATATGTGCACTATTGTTATTCTCCTGGATATGACAGCTGAGGTGCTACCAGTGTCCATGTTTGTCCACAGCCCACTGGAGAAGACCAGCCTCAGGCTTCTCTATATAGGAGTTTAAAGAGAAGCACAATTAAACACAATATTCTCTATCTAATAGCAGGTGCAAACATCTCCTGTCCTTGATTTAAGACTGGCTTGTCAGTGTCTGTCAGTATTTCATATTTTCCGTCTTTCAGATCTGGAATGACAGTCGTACCTCAAACCCTTTAGCAGAACCTTAGGAAATGCATCGGATTTGTGTTCAGGCACTAAGATTACCTAAGTTTAGATAAGAGGTCTATCCATAGCTGGCTGCGAAGCTAATATGAAAACACATCCTGGACGGTGGTAGAGACTGACTAGATAAGCTTGGAACATTTATCCAGCTCTTTATATAATTGCGCATTCTGCATCTACTTAAGGTGAAGATAACAGACAGCGCCCATGTCATCCTACCATAGATCAAACCGCTACAATCTCCCTATTACATCCAAGTTCGCGGTATAAAAATATTATGAAGTAATTATCTACCACTTACCTTTTGTACCTCTGACCCTCTGTATGGCTCGTATCGAATATATATGCTCACCTTGCTGCAATTAAGCTGAGGCTTGGCTCTTGACAGCAATATACCGTCTACGTTAGGTTGTAGGACTTGAGCATATATGCAGAATAGAGGTAGTTACACAGAGTACTTTATGAGTCTACGGAGTACATCGAGTGAAGCAACGTAGGGATGGTCCACACAAGGATTGTCATTAGGTTTGCCACATATTACCTACCCAAGGCGTGGACGCATTGGCAATCGGATCCGACGGCGCGGTTATGTATCAAAGCCAAACGTGATGTAGCATTTTAACTTATGCAGCATGTGGCGTAGACGCAAGCGTCATACCAGGGAACAAAATCCTCCGTGAGCGTAAGTGCTTGCAGCTAAACAAAGGCGTACAGTACTATATGCTCACTTCGTCTCTTATTATATGTCACTGTTCAACACATAGATATCGAGGCCGAGCTCATGAGTTTCCACAGCAAGGCGATCCTGCAGCAGAAGATATATAGCGAAAACGCGGATAATCAAAACGTTATAGGCCGCGCGGCATACACTCAGCGCTTGACAGAAACAGTTCCAGCAGCCTGCCCGCATTTTGAAGAGAGTGCTCCGTAAGTGGGCCGAGCTACATTTCTGGCCAAAGATAAGACATTGGTCCTGTCCCACATCCTTGCACACCTTGTCGAAAATGATATTACACGGCATCGAATAGAATCACGGCAATCTCCCGAACCCTGTCCATTTTCGCCATCGGCACCTTACCCGAACAGGAGATTCCCCGCGTCGTCTTAGCAAAGGACCTGCTTGATGTTATATTTCCCCCAGTGCACTTTTGTATCACACCAGCCTGTCGAACTTTTGTGCTGCTCGTGATCGAGACAGACGTCGTATCAAAGATATCGCAGCTCATGGTGCCGTAAGCCGACCTCACCATACGATACGTACGGCCTCGGGCGTGCCGTATTCCGGTCGTTCTGTCCGCCAGCATCGCAACTCTGCATAGCAAAAGTTCTTTGTGGAGGTGAATGTGAGGCTGTAGGCCATAGATAACGGCTTGATGCAATTGTGTGACGGGTCGAGCCAACCACTGTATTGTTTGGCTTCGTTTGTGAGCCCATGTAGAAAGTGGCGAGTGTAACCCCATAGAATAAGTTGATACAACGGTCCAGAACCTGTCTGCCGATCAAAGCTATAATACAGGGTCTTGCACCTAGCCCTCGACATCTCGAGTGGGCCAACGTTCACCTTTCCCAAGTGTTATATGGTCTCATATAAGTAGAGCCTGATATTGGGGACGCGTCAAGTCAAGCTTGAGCTTCAAGTGAGACAAGAATAGTTCACCATGTCTTCACAAGAACCTTACATCGACAACACCCCCGAGGAGGATAATTCTCCTCAGGAGAAAAACTTCGAGGAAAAGAGCGGCTTGCCTACCACCATCCATGCAGCTGACGACTTTGAGCATAAGGTTGCCGAGAAGCTCGGTGACATCGGCAATAACACAGCACCGCTTACTGACATCGAGTATGTCATGGACAAGATCGAGACGCTCAGTGTTGAAGAGTGCAAGGACATCGTTCGGAATCTCCTCAAACACCATGAATACGACTACAACTTCTCAGACAGTCAACGAAAGAAGCTCGCCGCCTTACTCGAGGGACCAACCGACAATCAGGCTGCCGAGGAGTGGGAGCTAGAACTCAAGACGGAGGCAGCTATCAACAAGTTCTTTTCCCCATATCCGGAGGTACGCGCCATCACTACTCCCACGGATGATGTTAATATCCCGTGTGAGACCATCCGTGCGCATTTGCTCGGCTATATGTGGGCTGTTATAGCGCAATTCACGAACTCGCTGTTCAATTCACGCTTCCCTGCAATCACATTGGGATCCTCGGTTGCGCAGATCCTTCTCTATCCATGCGGTCTGTTTCTTGCTTGGGTTCTGCCGGACTGGGGCTTCACGATTCGCGGCCAAAGAATATCGCTCAACCCAGGACCATGGACGTATAAAGAACAGATGCTTTCAACCATCATCATCGACGTGGGACTTACATCCGCCTACTGCTTCTGGAATATTCAGACCCAGACGGTCTACTACAAGGACAAATGGCTGACCCCTGGTTATGGAATTCTCCTTCTCCTGTCTACGCAGCTTATGGGACTTGGGTTCTCCGGTCTGCTACGACGCTTTGTAGTCTATCCAGTGGAAGCCATATGGCCCAATATCCTTCCCACTGTGGCACTGAACAGGGCGTTGTTGGTTCCTGAGAAGACTGAAGTGGTACACGGTTGGCGGCTGTCGCGGTACAAGTTCTTCTTCCTCTTCTTCGGGGGCATGTTCATTTATTTCTGGCTGCCCGACTTCATTTTTCCCGCTCTCAGCTACTTTGCTTGGATGACCTGGATTGCTCCGAACAACTTCAACTTGAATATAATCACGGGATCCTCTGTGGGACTCGGATTCAATCCCATCTCGACATTCGATTGGAATGTGCTCTCCGCATATTCGTATCCCCTTGCATACCCCTTCTTTGCGTTTTTTCAACAATTCCTTGGGACTCTTCTCTCTGGGTTGATCATTATTGCCTTATACTACACCAACACCAACTGGTCGGCATATCTCCCCATCAACTCCTCCGATATCTTTGACAACACTGGAAACTCGTACAACATCACGAGAGTCATCAGCCCAAATACCGGAGTTCTCAACGAGACTGCATACAAAGAATACTCACCGGCATTCTATAGTGCTGGAAATCTCGTCGTCTATGGCGCCTTCTTCGCCTTTTACCCGCTCACAATGGTATTTATCCTTCTCGACGCTTGGAGGCCGCTCCTCAAAGCCTACAAGTCCATGACGAACGCGGCTATTTCGACGACAAAGAGGATTCTGGTTGGACTCAAAAACACAGCGTCATCTCTTGCCCGCGGCGACATTAGAGGAGCCGGGCGACACTTGAGCAGCATCAATGATGAGAGCTCCATCTATGACGGTTTTGACGACCCGCTTACCAACCTTATGCGCAGCTATCCCGAAGTCCCCGACTGGTGGTTCTTGATCATTGCACTTGTTGCTTTCATCTTTGCAATCATCATCGTGACTCACTGGCCGCAGCTCAACACACCTGTCTGGACAGTCTTCTTCGTCATCGGTCTCAACTTGGTGTTCCTTATCCCAATGTCGTACCTCTATTCGATTTCGGGAACGACTGAAGGCTTGAACGTCGTCACGGAACTAATCATTGGCTATGCTCTGCCCGGACATCCGGAAGCTCTGATGTTCGTCAAAGCATTCGGTTACAACATCAACGGCCAAGCCGACAATTATATCTCCGACCAAAAAATGGGCTTCTATGCCAAAGTGCCTCCACGCGCCATGTATCGTGGCCAGGTTCTTAGCGCAATCATCACGGCGTTTGTGGCGTATGGAGTCGTCCAGTTCGCCGACACACAGATACCGGGCATTTGCACTCCAGACCAGGTTTCCAGTTTCAATTGCGAGAACGGCTCACAAGTATACTTCTCGGCCTCTGTTGTTTGGGTAAGATGTCATTGACTCGGCAATTTTCATCTGCAGAATAGCACTAACACAATAATTAGGGTGCCATCGGTCCCAAGAGAATCTTCAGTCAGATCTATCCCGCCATTAAGTATACATTCCTCCTGGGCTTCCTTCTCGCACTCGTCTGGTGGGGCCTGAAGCGCTTTGGATCATATATTCGGGCTGCGTCTCAAGCTGCGTTACCTGCCTTTATTCACAGACCAATCGATGTCGTCGTCTTCACGCCTATTTCGTGGCTCAAGCATGTCCATCCTTCCCTCGTCTTCAACGGCATGCTCCTGTGGGCACCTCTGAACCTCACATATTTTACTGGTGGCCTCTACTTCTCTTTTGCATTCATGTACTACCTCAGGAGGTACAAGACGGCCTGGTGGGAGAAATACAACTACGTCTTGTCAGCAGCACTCACTGGTGGCGTTGCGTTTTCTGGTATTATTATCTTTTTCGCCGTGCAGTATCATCCTAAAAACATTAGCTGGTGGGGCGTTAATGTCCTCGGGCAGACAATTGATGGCGGTGCTGGGCAGCAGACGCTGCTTACTGAATTGCCGGCAAAGGGTTACTTTGGTCCCGACACTTGGCACTGAAGGAACAAGGAATGGTGGGCTTTGATAGGATGAGAATAATAAGACTAGTGATTTCATATGAGTCATCATCTTTTTGTGAGAACATGGTACATTTTTATCTGCACTATGAACAACTGAGAGAAGATCTTTTATGTAGAAGTGGAAGACGGAGACCAGCGTGATATTTGAGTATTTGCTAGAGATTATTTGCATGAATGTTTCCGTAAAGTCCCCCATACCCTTCATCTCTGCCCAAGTACTCGTATCTCAATGGCTAGAAACCCTTTTTCTTCCACTTTTTCTGACCTTTTATAAACAAAAAGAGCGAACATCTAACATGCCGGGAAGCTATCACCACTCCTTTACAAAGTAGTCCAGGGAGTAGCTAAGAGAGACTGAATAGAGAGCCCCGTCATGGTTGACAATAGAAGTGAAATGACCCTGCTATTTCCTCTGCTTTCAAGTAGAGAACCCATAGGGCCATATAGCTTGTTGCATTTATTGGAGGGGATCGCAGTTAGAATCGCAGCCTAAAAGCCTCGAAATTAGTAGATGCTCAAACAGAATAAATGGTCCAAGATCGCTCAAAGTGTTGTCTCTTGCATATTGCTATGTCAAGAAACGGTAGATGCTAACAGATATAAGAGGACTGGACAGGATGGAACTCACTGTTATCCTTGGTGCATCCGCTGATGCTGCCGTTGTAGGTGCAATCGCACCAGGTACCACCGGCGCCCATACCACCAGGGATGGTGTGGCAGACAGCGCGACACTGACAACGACCACTTCCTGCCCTAGCCTCGAGGTTATTGACGGGAGAAGGCGCCGCAATAGCAAGGGCAGAGAGCCCGAGCATGGTAAGGGTAGAGATGATGGAAACGCGCATCTTGAAGGAAAGGTTGATAAGTGGATGATTGGGAGTAGATAAGGATTGTTCAGAGAAGGTATGAGTTGGCCTGATCTATTTGTTGATGTCTACAAGTCGAGTGTTGGGTATGAGAGAGCCTCTGGGGAGGACAGGAACTTCTTATATACTTCTCAAACTGAGCCTATCCAGGTACTTCAGACTGATACTTCTGTCATCAATAATCGAGTGCTCCCGTTCTAGAGCCACCTTTGCCGAAAAGCACAAGATAACGAAATTCAACATGACGTATCTTCTTCAGTATACGAAATATCCAATGTCTTGCCAAGACCATTGTAGTGATATTCCAAATCACGGGAAACCCTTTACGCGAGTAGTAGGTAATACGAAGCTGCAGTATCGAGTTTCTTCCGGCTGTATATTTCCACCAGTCATACGCTGAAGGTCTAAAATGCCAAGAAAGTGTTTCTTAGCTTGCAAACACGATATTTGTTTTCAATTCACTGAGTTTCTGTCTACGTCAAGATTAGGACTACTATAGAGTTAACTATAAATCGCACAGAATTACACCTTCGAATAGCAGGTATTGAGGCAGCATTTCGTTGCAGACAAATCGAGTTCTGATTATTCCCAGCAGTCAGTTGTATACGTATACGTCAACTCCGAATGGTGAGAAGCAATCGTTCGTGCCTTGAGATGGTGAGATATATTTCCGTTTTGCAGCTGTAATCAAATAGTATTCCAAAGTGTGGGGGAAAAAGTCCCATTGATGCTATTATCATAAGCACTAGTTCACAGTACTAAGGTAATTTACAGCTACTCCGCGCTCTGGGGCAATTAGTCGGCAAAATTACATACCCAGACTCGAGAAGAACCCAGCACACAGAAATACTCTACGCGCATAAACTAACCACGCTTGAGTCGCCACTTTAGAGTTCTTATTGCTTAGTGTAAGGTATGTGTATATTCACTTTGCGTTGTCGGTTTTTTTTTTCCTTGGCAGACCTCTTGGGAGGCTATGTCACGGCATACAAGCCGTAAGGGGGCTGATCTGTAGATCTGCACTCCATCTAGTCAAGCGTCAGAAGGCAACTTTAATCTTCTAAGCTTAAGATAATGCATATTGATTCCATTCCATATACCCGCAGCAGCTGCTTCCACTCATATTCCGACCTTATCCATGATATTCCCAGCTACCAGACTCCGTATATCTCGTACTCTTCTATTTGCCGACAGTCGTTTTAAACCTAATTAGAGTCGGAGAATCTACATCTTATCATTCACTTCTGCAATCCACATCGCACGGAAGCGGGACCTCGGAACCAGTCCGACAAGCCGTAAGCAATAGGGATACTGCTTTATAGTATATACCGTCTTTCCCCCCATCCTTTAACCTTCCCCTCTCTCTAGTAGTAATCAGATACTACTCCTTCTCTGAATTGCCAGACGTAATGCAGAAATCTTTGCATATGGCTCATCATTCTTCCGAGGATCAATGCCCTGACAATGAGGCCGGAGAGCCACTGCTCCCTGAGACCGCCAGCGTATTTTTCCAAGGAAAACAAACGAGTTGGCGTTACTTACTCGGTGTTCTTGGTGTTGGGGTCTTAGTTGTTGCGAACCTTACTCAAGCGCTCATTATACTACAAGTAGTAAAATATACTAGTAGTAAGCCAAGTGCCGAGTATCATCCTGATTGTGAGTTTACTCTCAGCAGTGAGCGCCCAATTTCACATAACACAAGAACAGATGATTAATCTTGGATCTAGTTCCTATGCAAGCCCTCACTATAGAGCGGAACAGGACTTGGGAAGAGCTCTCCAATCCCTCCTCCGACTCTTTGTGGAACGCGGGCTTACCAGGCATCACCGGCTGGGTGCAGATCGAACACGCCCGAGACTATAACCTGCCCCGGGGAATTCCTTCTCTGGGTAAATACGAAGTTTACATCACCACTTGGGGCCATCAGCACCATTGTCTAGTTCGTTGTCTAATCTCATTTAATCAGACTCTTTCAGGCAGACACCACTTATAACATAGCAAAAAACTAACCTGTTGGTAAACAGAAGATCCTTCGTCGAGAATTTTCCAGCGTCGTGCGCGGCGAAAGCATCCTGATTAACTCGATGACCAATGGTACAAAGACACCACACAGCGAAGCAGCAGGCCGCAAGCTATACCACCTAATGCATTGCTTTGACTACCTCCGCCAAACTATTGCCTGTGCTAGCGATTTAACACTCGAGGGAATTAACAAAGAGTCTAACGACACATTCTTCGACATCGACGGGTACGGTGTAGTACATATGTGTAAGAGTCAGGTGTGTAGATATCAACCACTAAGCTCCCGAATGACGTCCCAAAAAAGCACATTGCTAATTACTCACAGAATGCAATTGGGAATTGGCTTATATCTCATGCGCCGGAGGAAGATGGGTTCCAGCAGCACATTGAGCTCTGAGAAATCCCCGAGGCCCTCGCCGAACATCATTAAGAAACGTATTGGCTGTTATTACAGAATTAGAGAGACGAATGGTATATCCTTCTGCGTGGTGCTCAGTGCTGGTTACTTTATTCCCTCTGAGCCTGTCGAACTTTGTACAAAAATGCTACGTCGGCTATTATGGGATTGACGTATTGTCTAATCTTCTCTGTCCCTCTGAGTTCCTTCTGTTATAATGCGCGGTTAGTCAACCCAGTTCATAAGCCCTGTATGGCATGAGAACTTCCACAATGGACTTTGCAGTAGTAGACCAAGACATGTTGCTCTCAATTAGTTCTCCCTCCCGTCTTATGCCGAGCTTTGGACAGCTCCATCGCCAGTGGGTTTGCCCCAGACGGATAACAGCGGAGACTGGGCATGATGGAGTACACCAAAGTCAACCCCATGGGGGTAGCCTCCGGCTCACGGAAACAAACGGGATGGAATGCCGGAGAAATGTATGCGTACTTCAGCTAGGCGTTTCAATATATTAGCTATAGGTCAAGGAATTCCATCTTCGGCTGAGTTTGGACTAACATCACATGACTGAATATTATACTTGCTACTATATTTATAAACGTCAATTCCCAGCTTCAAAGAACGTCTGAACTACACCAACCCGTGGATTGATCGAGTTAGCTACAGCATTCCTTTCGGCACTATGGCATCTATTGTTGGAGTAGTCCTTCTGGCATGTATCCTGTTTTATTTTCTTGAATTAGACATACTTCGCTCCTCTGGCAGGCGCTACGATTTGTGCTTTGGAACAGATATCGAGAACTTGGGGAGTAGGATGAATATCATGGAATAATAATTATTACTGATTGCTGTATTCCTACATTTTACATTTATTTATCAACTGCTGTTGAGATTTAAAGGTTATTTCTTCTCTTCACCTATTGCATGTACATTAGTGGATATTGACCCTAAATGTTAATATATCATCCAGTCACTTATAAGTAGTTTGCAAAGGCATATATAGAGAGAGGTTTAATAATAGAGTATCTCGAGAATATGCTTCCTAAAAATGGCCATCTCCTTCATTAAACAATGTTGTTCAAGTTGAGCACACTAGCTAAGAGACAACAAAGCACCGCATCAACGATTGAATGATCTAGTGGTCAGTCCAGTTAACAGTCAGTTCTCCTTCGGAGACATTGTTGTCCTTGAAGGGAATGCTGCCGCACTGTCCGCATCCGTGGGCTTCCAGTCCCTGCAGCATACCCAAGGCTTCTCCAGCTGTGATGGAGTTGCTAATGCCCTGAGTGAATGCACAGATATTGCCGCCAGGAATGCCGCAACAGGCAATGTGCTGCCCGGGGCTGTACGATGTGCTTGGATCTTGTTGGCTGACTTGCAAGATCAGATCGGCGAGTCTGCATTCGGGAGTACCGACGCAGTTAGCATTGCCACGACAGTTAATGCCGAGAGCTGCTGCGGCGGTATAGAGCAGAGGGAGGACAGCGAGTAATTGCATTCTAGAAAGGAAAAACTGTTATCATGTCATTCTAGTAATACTTGGTCTAGTAAACCTTACTTGAATTGGGAAAAAAGAATCTTCAATGTTTAGAGATTGTTGGCAGATGTAGAGATGCAGAGATGCTGAGTGTTTGTTGGGTTGTGATGATGAACTTCACCTTATTATCGCGGCAATAGCCTATCTTTATAGATTTTGAAAAGTTGCCATTTATTGTGCTTGTTGAGTTTCTGAACAGCAAAGTTGTAGAATTGAATCCTAGCTTGTCTAGCTAAGACGTGCCACTTGGGCTGTAAGCCTCGTCGCCCCCTTTTGACGCAGGGGTAATAGGCAGCGATGCAGATCAAAGTAAGCACAGTTGATACGAATTAGGAAACTCCCCCTCTTCGACAAGTCCACTTTATGTCTCAAGAAGCAAGATCGCCAGAGATCTTCCACTGCGGCCGCTATATTTATAGTGCTTCTAGTGCCGAAGAACCATTTTCCTTAGTGGTTGGTGGAGTTTTAGTAAGACGCAGGTCTTGATCTACATTAATTTCCATGACAGCTGCGAATAAGCAAAATCTGGGGCACGATCTGCGACGAGTCCAAGTCAGGCATTTCATAGTGTAAGTTACAATGTTTGAATGTGTCGTTTGGCTCTCTCACCGCAGACTTGAAGACTGATGTCGCTTTTACAAAAATTACACGCGCCTTCTGAAAACTAAAGTGTACCTATCAGATGGCCGTAATATCTGGCATGCATACATTCACATCTAATAACTGAACAAGCAAGGCAACCCTACTAATGCAGATCATTATATAATGAAACAGCAGTTTATCTGTGCTTTTCACTAAATCATCTTCTAATAACGTAATCTGACTGAACTGTTGACATATTGAGCAGCCTGTATCTTCCAGGCTATAGTTGAGAAAATGATCTACGTTATGATTCCATTACGGTATATAAAACTTGCGTTAAAGATCGTCGCAATGTCAGACTTTGCTCCATTAACGATCGACCGTGTCTCGTTCATGATGTAATCTGACAGTTCTCAAGGAGAAAAGGCTTTATTTTCTATGAGTTATTATTATCAATGATTTTTTTAGAAACTCTTACACTCGAAACAATAGCAAGAATAGGTATCCGAGCTTAGGTTCTAGGACATTGCAATAAGCTTTGAGCTCAATTTCGTTAGGACACGACTTGACACAATATCTTCTCCGCGGAATTGTATATAAAGAGGACTCCTTTCCTTTCCGAAGTGAAAAAGAAACAGAACACTCAGCACCAATATAATATCTCACTCACAAAATAAATTCAGCCTTTGAAGACTTTTGCTATACATAGCTTACAGACAAAGCTACATTACAAGTCAGTAGCAAGAGTGTATGAATCCTTGTCTCTACTAACATCTTATATACCAGTATTAGATATAACAATCATGGCATCGATTACCTTCCACCCTCAAGGCTGTGCGTCCGGAAATGGGCTTGTGACGCTCGTTTCGGCTGGATCAGTGGGCACTGGCACATGCTTCTTCAATGATGGCGCATTTCCCAACTCCAATCCATCTGGAGGATACGAGGTACGCACATGGCCACATTAGAGCTGCTAAAGACACTTCTTATCAGCCTCTGCATCTTCGTATAATTTGCCAGTTCCCAATACTGACGTGTGCGGAATAGATTCAAGGGATGCCGTCCACAGTGTCAGTCACTATATCGCAAGGTCCACCTGATGGCACCACTTGTGGCGAAGAGCTCATTGCTCTAGAACACCAAAATGGATGCTATGACTTCCCAAATCTTTCCAACAGAATTTGGTGGGCATTTTGCAACACTGGAAAAGATTGTCCTGGCGTAACTCAGAAGCGCTCATACCCGCCACCGAGCTTGTCCAAGAAGACAGTCCCTGCCAACGAAGGGGCCAAACGAGCTGTCGATCTTGAGAAGAAAAAAGAAACCAGAAGTCAAGGCGTAGTCTACACCGACGAGAAGGGTGACTACCTCCTCAGTTCTACCGGCCGACGTGTCCCAGTTGTGTATCATAACGAGACAACGGAGGTGGAAGTGAATACTTCCCCAATCGAGAAGCGACAAAGCCAGACGTTCAACCCGCCCAGCAACTGCGTGTTGGATTCCAGCACATGTCAATCTCTGGCTGATTCTGGCCAGCTAAGGGCTCTCTGCGTCGACTGCCAGCAAGGTTTGGGAAATGGAGTTAAGGCGTCAGGATCATCAATGATTGACTGTCGAAACTCTGGTGGACCATGCCCAGTCACATTCACTGATTCTGTCACTGTAACTGACACCATCTCTGAAAGCATTACTTTTGGAGCCACTATCGGCGACACAGGCAAGGATGGTGCTAACGGAAATGCAAACTTTAACTTTGGATTGAGCGTCTCTATTGCCACTACGCATGGTACATCTGAGGGCCTGCTGATTCCCCAGGGTAAGATTGGCTTTGTTCAATTCCAGCCCCAAGCTCAGCTAGGCACTGTTGTTACAACCAGCTCCCAAGGAAACGTTTGCGACAGCGCCGGACTGAACAAGATCTGTGGAGCTCAGCCAGGCATCCTCGTTAGCAGTTCGAACGATGCTGATGGCCAGTACAGCGTGGTTCTTAGCAGCTAAGTGTCCTGACATAACTTATATAGTCTGATATTAGGCTTATAGGATAGTAATTGCAGTTGAATTACTAAATAACATTTTAAATACTCTGGGCGAGACACGCCACTCTATGGTCCAATACTAACCGCGTACAGACCTATTACATCTCTTATATCTTGTTAGTGGTTCCTTCTAACATGGTCATCAAGCGATTTCGCCCTTCTCTGTACCTGTCCATTTTGATGTTCTGCTGGGGCATTATCAATATGTGCATGGAATTTGTCCGCTCGTACAGTTCGCTTATTGGTCTCCGATTCCTCCTCGGTATCTTCGAGGCTGGCGTTCTTCCTGGCATCATCTATGTCACATCCACGTATTACAAGCGACACGAGTACCAAACGCGCATGTCCTTCTTCTTTTGCAGCACCGTCGGCGCTGGTGCATTTGGTGGACTCCTGGCCTATGCGATTTCCAAGCTTGGGGGTCAACATGGCTTTGCTGCTTGGCGCTGGATTTTCATCATCGAAGGCGCGATAACATGGACAATTGCCATTATGGCCGCATTTGTTATAATTGACTGGCCGGAGCAGACCAAGTATCTCAACGCGGAGGAGAAGGAGCTGCTCCGCCGCCGACTTGCGGCTGATGTCGATGAGTCGTGCCGGATGGACGTTCTCAACAAGGCTTCCCTCCAAAATCTGGCTCGGAGCTTGGTTTATCTGGGGGTCGGTGTTCCCGGTCTGTCGGGAACCTTCTTCCTCCCTACGATTCTCCTCGAGTTCAACTGGAAAGCTCAGGAGGCGCAAGTCCGGACTATCCCCGTTTATGTACTTGCAGGCGGCACGATGCTCATCGGTGCCTGGGCTTCGGACAAGCTGAGACATCGCTTCAGCTTCTTCGTCGCTGGAACTAGCATGGTCACCATTGGCTACGGAATGCTGCTCAGAGGGCAAGTCTCGGGACTACAAATTTGGCGCCGTCTTCTTGGTCTTTGGTGGTGCCTACTTGGTCACGCCCATGGCACTTGCATGGCTGCAGAATAACCTCTCGGGCCATTGGAAGCAACATTTTTCTCGTCAATGAAGCACCCACTTATGTCACTGGCTACAGCGTTTCGCTTGCCATGATGTGGCTAGGGATGATCTCTGCAGCAATACTCTTCCTGCTCATGTGGAGAGAGAACAAAAAGCGCGATGCCGGTGAGCGGGATTATAGACTGAGCTTGCCGGATGATGTGAAGAACAACTTGGGTGACGACTATCCCACATTTCGATTTACCCTTTGATACCAGTGCTAGGCTGGCTGTCACGAGGGAGAAAATGTTTTCCTTGCAAAGTTGGAAATGGTGGGAACCTATGTAGGCATGAATAAGACAGGTACGAGATCATCTATAGCAGTCCGGTAACATGAACGTCGTTGTTAAGTCCACCGCCTCAACAAAGCGTTCCAATTGATTCACGTCCCAACACGGATGTGTAATTGGAAATTATCGTGAAGTGGGATATCAATGCCCAGTCGACCACAAGTCCAACGTGCAAAGAGCTAAATTCCATCAAGGAACCCATCGCCAAGTGATCGCATCGCGACTACTACACGTAATGACAGGCGCCTTATGAACTACCCGGCTACGATGGTTGGCACACATCGCAGTGCGTGTACGTGAACCATGTGCCCTGCATGCACGACAGCTATTGCTTTCTACGGGATGGACACACCAAGATTGACTAGGTATCCTTTAGCGAATACGTGGTACTGGTAATGGCAGTCAAGTCCCCATTCATACCATGAACGTACGGTATATGCAAGACAAGAGAGTTCCCTCAGGTAATCCCCTCAGAATATGGAGTATCTCCCAACGGATGTGAATGTGGTGCTTTGGTACGGCAATGATAATCAAGTTGCTTCTTGCTCGGCAGGAACAGCACCCCGGGGCTAGCCTCGAACCGGTTGATGGTGCTACACACACCGGAGCAGACAAGGATCTAAGCGTCCAAATCACACAGGCAGACAGGGGTAGAGGATTGCGGTTCTTTGCGACCAACAGGTATTGTAGACTACCATTTGTGCCGGGAGGGACCAGCATCTCACATTTGCGTGCCATTTGTACGAGTTAAGCTCTAGAGGATCAGCCCTTTACTTCGTATATAATAAGAACAGCAACTGTCAACTGTCGGGGAGATGGACTAGTCTTGTGTGACTGCTCGCTACCCATCAACTCCTTGACAATCGCTAGAGTGGTCGGTTCGAGCAGTCGGCAACAAAAAGAAGCCCTTCCTATGCCAATTCTTTAAGAGGGGCCGTAGCATCCTACTCTCAGTACACAACGAGTAGCATCTTCAATACGGTGCTAGCTGTCTATCACCTGGAAGAAAGTTCTGCGTACAGTCAACATGTATTCGGCTTCTTTCGCCTTCTTTGAGGGGTTGTGGGATGCAGGTGTCACACACTGCTTCGTCAATCTGGGATCGGATCATCCAGGCATGGTTGAGGCCATGGTCAAGGGCCAGCGAGAAGGCAAGGCTGGATTTCCGCGGATTATTACATGTCCTAGCGAGGTATCGTCCTTATTCCCATACAGTCTAGATCCTGTTCTTATGAGAATAACAGCTCATAACGACTGACGTGACTATGTAGATGGTTGCCATGTCCATGGCAGATGGCTACGCCCGCGTGACTGGAAAGCCTCAATGTGTCATCGTCCATGTCGATGTTGGCACGCAAGCCCTTGGTGTGGCAGTTCACAATGCCTCAAGCGGCCACGCCCCCGTCCTCATCTTCGCTGGCATGTCCCCTTTCACTCAGGAAGGTGAGTTGAGAGGCTCACGCACTGAGTTTATCCATTGGTTGCAAGATATCCCCGATTAAAAGGCCATCCTCGGTCAATATTGCATATATGCGGCCGAAGTCAAGACTGGCGTCAACATCAAGCAGATGGTCAACCGAGCGTTGCAGTTTTCCCGAACCGCACCACAGGGTCCAGTATACCTATGCGCTGCTAGAGAGGTCATGGAAGCGGAGATCAAGCCTTACTCCATCAAGCAGGAACAGTGGGAGCCTGTTGAGCTGGGCGGCCTTTCTTCCAAATCCGCGAGCCGGATCGCCAAATCATTGGCCGGTTCCGAGCGGCCGTTGGTGGTAACAGGCTACTCCGGTCGCAATCACAGTATTCCTGGTGCCCTCATTGAGCTTGCAGACACTATCAAAGCCTTACGTGTGCTTGATACTGGTGCAAGTGATGTGTGCTTCCCTGGCGATCATCCAGCATGGCTTGGGGTTAAGCAGGGTGCTGATCATTCCATTCCTGAGGCCGACGTTATCTTAATCCTAGACTGCGATGTTCCCTGGATTCAAACGCGCTGCAGACCCAGCTCAGATGCGATAATCTATCACATCGATGAACAACAATGGTAAATTCTGGCCTTCCTGAGATGCCGAAGCACATTGACTGATTAGCACAGGATGGAACGCGCCGAGGAAGTCGTACATGTTGATTCACGCCGACGGTGTAGCCGCTGAGGCTACTAACGAAGAAATGAACATCTCCTTCAATCCACCACCTGATTATGCTGGTATAGCGGCTGCAGCTGGTGCAGGCGATATTTTTGCGCTGAAGGCGACAAAGGCTAATGAACTCGAGGCTGTCTTGAGAGATGCAGTGGCCAAAGTAAAGGCTGGGCGGACGACTGTCGTAGACTGCAAAGTGTTGACGGATTGCTAAGCTTCGGCTGACGCATAAATAGGTAAGAAGGATGAGGATACCGGGAGAAAGAGTGGAAGACACAATTACAGCAAATGGGGGGGATGCGTGTGGTGTGAGAGGGCCGTCTCATCTGTCGTTGTATTCCAATAAAGGGCTCACTGGAGATCCTATTTCCGAAAACGCGAATATGGCTTGCAAGCAGGTCAATAGACTAACTCAGACTTCGAATTTCGTGTAGGTAGGTAGAAGGGCGTTAAGACGGTAAGAGAAACGGCGCTCGGCGCTCGGAGGTCCCCGATGGAGCGCCAAAACACTGAAATTTTGGTCGAATAGCCCGTCGGCTTCGCCATCACGCCAATCGTTCATCTCCACTTACTTTTCTGTTCCACTTTCATTCTGTAGGATATTTAACATTGGACGACAGCTCAGAAAATGCTCTGTAAAAGATTTCAAGATCAAAATTCGAGAAGATCCATAGGGCTTCGCCCATAATGTGCAACGACAAGCTTCACCAATTTCTTCACGCTCTTCCAAAGTGTGAGCATCATGTCCACATTGAGGGCACCATCTCTCCAGAGCTACTCTTTGACCTTGCCTCAAAGAACGGGATCTCTCTACCAACGGACGACCCAGCCTTTGAGAGTCCGGTCACACTCCAAGCTCGCTACGACAGGTTCACTTCTCTCGACGATTTCTTACACTATTACTTCATTGGCTTCTCAGTACTTCTCGGTGTATCAGACTTTGAAGCATTGACATACGACTATCTCTCTCTCGCATATTCACAGAAAGTATACCACGCGGAGATTTTCTTCGATCCGCAAGCCCACATATCACGAGGCGTGACGTACCATACTATCATTTCTGGCCTGAACGCCGCAAAGAAGAGGGCCGAGAGTGACTTTCCCAAGCTCAGCGTTGAGTTCATACCCTGTTTGCTTCGTCATCTGCCGGTGTCGTCAGGCCATGGAATGCTCACTGAGCTACTGGGCACTGGGCACTTCTTCGATGGCACTCTTGTTGGTTTCGGAATGTCCAGCACAGAGCTGGAGAGGCACCCCTCGCTCTACAAGGAGGTCTATGAGGCAGCACGGGCGGCGGGAGTTGCAAACCTGACTGCTCATTACGGTGAAGAAGGCCCTTCAAGTTACGTCAAGGATGCCTTGTCGCTTCTCGGGGTGGGGCGCATTGATCACGGTAGACGCTCTGCCGAGGACGAAGAAGTCATTGCACAGCTTGTTGAGACAAGTACAATGCTTACGCTGTGTCCAATCTCGAACGTTGTCCTCAAAGGCGTGGGGAGCATGCAAGAATTGCCCATTCGGAGATTCCTAGACGCAAACGTCAGATTCAGCATCAACAGCGATGACCCTGCTTACTTTGGAGGATACATACAAGAAAACTACTGCGCTGTTCAAGAAGCTTTTGGATTGTCGGTCAATGACTGGGGAAAGATTGCTCGAGGAGCCATCGCCGGGAGCTGGTGTTCTCCCGTAAGAAAGGACCAGCTGTTGAAGGAGGTTGAAGAAATTCTACAGCAATGGAATTAAGCCGGCAGTGTAGCTCGCCAGTTACACGACACACCAAGGCGGCGTCGCGTCGAGCAACTGGCCACTACATTGGAATCGCCGTCGAGTGATCTCACGCGGCGTAGACGTACTGGGCAATCATGAACAAGTCTCATCAGGTCCGGGTGAATACGCTCGACAAGTTGGTGACAATCGAGTCTCAGGCGTGGATAGAGACTGCTCGTGTCATGGCGATCTATGAGATTGCTGCATTCGCGTTGTACCACAGGAGAGCGAGTGCTCGTGGAAGTGCGGCCGGAAGTGGCTTGTCATATGCGGTTCAGCAAGGGCCTGGGGATGATTCAATTCTTCTTACCCTGTATTGGTCATGCTGAGAAAACTGAGTGAGTCTTCTTTAAGATGGAGCGAGAACACGACACTACACAAACGTCAATACAATCAATATGAGCCTCTTGACATATCACCATCGAAGGATGTTTGCTTAGTCCTTGAATGGATCGAGCTGCACACATTGCATGGATAAGTGACTGCGTAACATTGGCTTCCTGACAACAATAACTTGAGACGTAGCTATCTAAGCTGGGGATATTAGGTAGACAAGCCCGAGCCCCACAATGAAAAGCACCAGCGGCTCCTCATGGTCTATCAATTTCATGCCAGTACTTTGCACTCGCCCGAGCAACCGAGGACGGAAACTGTTGGTTTCGACACTTGAACCCGGTGAATAATTCAGGATGGGTCACTAGAGGCAAGGCCATGGAGCAACAGTGTCGATCTGGGGAATGTGCATTAGGTTGGCCCACGTGCAAACACTACCGATTAGCGACCCCAGATCGTTGTTGCAGACGTGCGTCCCCGAGGAAAGCAGCCTGAGAATCGGTGACAATCTCGATGCGCTCTTGGCCATCGACTCCGGTGTGAACTGACGGGCGGTACAGCATGTTGTGCGACATTGCATGCGGGCTTTGCGTTCTGTTTCTTCCGTGGTTAAGACGGGACGGACTGGGACGTTGTTCCAGGTTTTGTTCCCCCCACCGGGGCTGACTGTGTGGGTAACATTCGGTGGAGGTCAAGACAAGGGATCCAAGGAAAGGAACACTACATCCTTTTCGGTGAGCAGCCGATTATTGGTCATGACCCTCGCAAATGAAGAGACAGTGGTGTTAGTAGTATTCTGAACCATAGCACAGAGAAACAAGGATGCCACGGTTGCACGTTCGCGTTTAGCTGCGATTCGCTTTCCAGGCTCCGCAATCGCATCTTGCGCCTCTCAATGACCGTTGATCGAACTTATCTGGTTGTTCATCTACTAGTAATAGAGTTACAGCACAGCGGTCCGATTCGATCAATATCACTACTGATCCGCCTTCGTATCGATGCGTTGATGCATTGATGCCCTCAGTTCAATGCGAAAATGACCGCTACAGGCCCTATGGGCGCTGCCTCCTCTTCTGGGCCTGGAATCTATTACAGCGCAACAGCATCAGCAGCCTCTCGCAAACTTGGCACGAAGCCGCCTAGCGCTGCAAAAACCAAGGAATCGAAAGTTTGACGCCGAATCGCTATTTAGGATGCTTTGCTCCGCTATACCCCGCTTTTAACCCCGGCACCATCGAAATCTGGATTCTCTGATTGGCCGAAAATCCGGCCGACCAATCTCCGGCGAGCCGGCGCACACCTTGTCCCAGCAGTAGTGCGCTTACCTAAGCCTCGTTCCTTGTTCTGTCTGGCTCTGGCCTCGGTCGCGTCTGAGTGTCTGTCGTGCAGCCGGCCAGCAGAAAGCGCAACAGGGCCCTTCTTTTTTCGTTCCAACCTTACCCATCAAACCTTACTACGACTCCATACTTTGATACATTGGATGCCGCCACGGTTTTGACCACCTCGAGGTAGTTGCATCGTCTGCTGTGTTCATCTCATGAAGCGATAGACCGATAGATCCATCGACCGACTCCTTCCATCCAGGACTCACTGCATACGTTCCCACTGGCGACAAGACATAGCGGCTCGACCGGATAAGACGAGCTTGAAGAGTAGAACATCGGCCATACCATACCTTATGCACTTCGTCATTGGCGGTCTCCCAACATCCATCACCAGTCATCGCGGGCAGCATGTTGCGTAGGCTTCGATAGAGGCGCAGTCATTCTTGAGGAGGATGTCTTGCCCCGAGCCTGAGCCCTGCCAGCCTGCATCTTCACTTCGTCCATCGCCACTCGCTGAAAAATGAGAGTCGCCATCCGCGAGCAGCTCGCCGCGCTTGTGCTCTTCGCCGTCCTCTTGTCCCTGGCCGTCATCTCCATCCCGACATGGATCTTTGTCCACAACTTTGTCGTCGACGTCGAATCTCAGGGCCTGGCCCTGACCGCCTCGCTCAAGGCGTCCGCCATTGCGTCTGAGCTGGATCTGGCGCAGACCATCTGCCAGACCGTCGCCACGCGCATCCTGCTGCAGCAGGCCTTCATCGACTTCTACAACCAAAACTCGACAAACAAGACCGACCCCTTTGCCAATGCCCGCGCCGACCTCGAGAGCGCCATGGGCACCACCCGCGGCCTCACGGGGCTGCTGCAGGCCCGCCTCTATTCGCGAAACTCGACCGGCGACGGCCATCGCGGCCTGCTCAGCGTCACCGGCGCCGGTGTGGGCAATGCGACCAACAACATTGAGCTGCCCTACCTCACGCCCGACGGCTCCAGAGTCAACCTCAGCGATACCGAGTACGGCTACCCGCTGTCGCTGTATCCCAACATCACGTACACCAACCTCGGGTACCCGAACCCCTATGTGCCGTCGACGCCGGCCTTTGGCGCCTATGCCTTTCCGAACGTCAACCTGAGCACCGGCGGCGGCCTGGTGCTGGGTCCATTGGTCATCAACGAAACATTCGCCCTCATCTCTCTCACCATCCCCATCCGCTCCTTCGCCATCTCGAATTTCATCCTCGGCTACTTGACCCTGGTGATCTCGGCAGGCTCGCTGTCCGCCATCCAAGCTTCGCCCGAAGGCCTGGGCTCAACCGGCGTCGTCCTCCTCGTTGGACCGGCCAACCCATCCAATCGCTTCAACGTGTCGCAGCCGGCAAGCAACGATACGTACTCACCTACGCAGCCCAGCTTCAAGAATACCCCTGTCCATTTCGTCATACCGCCCATCCCCGTCCCGGGGCAGTCGGATCGACACTCGTCACGCAACTACCATTCCGGCAACTTTTATGGACGTCCGTTCCCCCTTCGCGATTATCCCAGCTTGTCAAAGGTGTATACTCGCAAGCTCTCACCGTTGGATAACTCCACCGTAGATCTCTCCACGACAAACGAGCAAGGCGTGCCTGTCGCCGTTGGCGTCGCTCGTCCTGCAACGACTCTCGTCAACTGGGCCGTCGTTGTGGAGAAGGCCAAGAGCGAAGCGTATCAGCCCATCGACAAGTTGAGAGATATCCTCCTAGGATGCGTCTTCGGGACGGCTGGCCTTATCGCAATCCTCGTCTTTCCCTGCGCCCATCTCAGCGTCTTGTCTATTAGGCGACTCAAGGCTGCGACGGAAAAGTCCATCAATCCTCCCGGATACGAGGAGTATGACGATGCGTTTGATGAAGAACACCCAAGCTCGGGAGCTACTAGTTCGAAGCGATCCGACAAAGGCTTTTTCGCTACCGTGAAGCGCAGGATATGGAAGGAGAAGAAGATTTTGCCCATCAGCGAAGCCGATGCTCACCGACACGTCTTCAAGATCCCCGGCAGAGTTGAAGTCGGCAAACACTACATCACCGACGAATTGACGGAGCTCACAGAGACGTTCAATGAAATGTCAGACGAGCTGCTCAAGCAGTACACACAGCTGGAGGACAAGGTTGCAGAGAGGACGCGAGAGCTCGAGGTTAGCAAGCGAGCGGCAGAGGCTGCCAACGAGAGCAAGACGCTCTTCATCGCCAATATCTCTCACGAGCTGAAGACGCCCCTGAATGGCATCATGGGCATGTGTGCTGTTTGCATGGAGGAGGATGATATTGTGCGGATAAAGCAGTCGCTTAAAACTCTCTATAGGTCAGGTACGTGGTCTTCTTCCTTTCAGTCAATCTCAGAGTCCAAAGGTCCTTGATATCCCCCCCAACTCTACCGCATATTTCAATGGTATCAATAATCACAACCCTCCCCTCGCCCCGTTCCTCTTCAAAAGGGAAGAAAGAAGGAGAAGAGCGGAGGACGAAACAGGAATCGTCGGTGATGTCCTGTTGTGCGACATGTGCTGATCAGCTCTTCTAGGCGACCTACTACTACACCTTTTAGAGGATCTCCTCAGTTTTTCCAAGAATCAAATCGGACAACATGTCAGCCTTGAGGAGAGAGAGTTTCGGTTAGGCGACATCAAATCGCAAATGTTGTCGATTTTTGACAAGCAGGTGCGCGAGAGCAACATCACATTCACCGTGAGCTTTCTCGGCAGCGAAAATATCGAGCTGAATGGGAGCATGGAACAGAGCATCTTGGAAAAAAGACTGCCTGCCTTGGGCCCCAACGGCATGGGACGACTGAAGGATGTTTATGTCTGGGGTGACCAGCACAGAATCCTGCAGGTCATGATCAACCTTGTCAATAATAGTCTCAAGTTCACGCCACCTGGAGGCAAAGTGGAGCTGCGAATCCGGTGCATATGCGAGGCTGAACGGTTGGAGACTGATGTCAGTAGGACTTCATCTTTGTCCAAAAGCGGTTCTACGAGGGTTGGGCGAAGCCGCCACAGAGGCAGCTCGGGATCGACACGCTCTACCAATTCCAGGACGACGAATAACTCCGCACCGCTGAGGAATGGCGCTGGTACCGCTCTCGCGATCAACCCGCTGGACCCAAAGGCCACGCCTCACGTTCGCATCCGGGAGCGCTCACCGACACCGCCGCCGGCAAACGCGAAGCCCTATATCTTCGAGTTTGAGGTGGAAGACACTGGGCCGGGCATACCGGAGCATATGCAGGACAAGATTTTCGAGCCGTTTGTTCAAGGCGACCTTGGACTGAATAAGAAATTTGGAGGAACAGGCCTGGGACTGAGCATTTGTTCACAACTGGCCAAGCTGATGGGCGGGTCGGTCACTCTTAAGAGCACCGTCGGGGTAGGATCGACGTTTACGATGCATATCCCTCTTAAATACGTCAAAGACCGCCCGCCAAGCACCGCTTCCAGCAGCACGGGATCGAGACCGACCAGCGTCAGGTCGGTAATTGGCGAGGGGCCCCGGAGCACGATGAATGGGTCAGCATCGCCGCTGCAGGACCCAAAATCCAAGAGCAGCCCATCGTTGATAGACAACAAGCTGCCCCGTCTCGTGGGCCTCAGCGCGCCGTTTTTCGCTGCCAAGCCCAACACCTCCGCTAGCAAAGAGGACCAGACGGCAGCTATTGATAAGGCAATGGCGAACAAGGCAGGGAAGGGAAAACTGCGCGTGCTGGTTGCTGACGATAACGCGACCAATGTTGAGGTGGTGAGTAGGATGCTGAAACTGGAGGATGTCTACGACGTGGCCATTGCCAAAGATGGCCAAGAAGCCTACGAGCTGGTCAAGGCCAGCATGGAGATGAACCAGCGTTTTGATGTGATATTCATGGACATCCAGATGCCCAACGTCGACGGGCTGCAGTCAACACGACTGATTCGCAAAATGGGCTACGTGGCGCCCATCGTTGCGCTTACTGCCTTTTCGGAAGAGAGCAACGTAAAAGAGTGCATAGAATCAGGCATGGACGAATTCTTGAGCAAGCCTATCAGACGACCAGCCTTGAAGAAGGTGCTCAAGAAGTTTGTCACTATTCCAGAGGAGCCAGAGACGACGAATGGCGCGACGAAAGAAAAGGGAACGGATCTTGATACAAATACGGCGAACGGGACGGCAACAGGGATAAACGGGAACGCGAACGGGCACGCGAACGGGCACGCGAACAGGAAAACAAGGGATTAAAGCATATAGACTAATATATCATGTATTAATTATTTTATGAAATGATACCACTTCCATGTCGCGCTGGCCTGTTGACCATGCGTGAGTGAAGTACATGTATTAACAGGTATGGATGCTCTCGGATCGTGAATACCTCCTATACCTCGAAATAGGACATAGATATCTACTAAATGTTACTGCCTAGCCCACGCCCATATTTGTTTGGCTCAACCCGAATATTCGACTGCTCGCTGAATTGCGCCCCCTAACAGACTAGCCCATGCCTTCATTATCGCACCCTCCAGATCCAATTCATGCCGCCTTTCCTCTATAATATAGAGGTCAAAGACCCCTTCGCAGACATGAATCCCATGAAGCATGAATGCGCTCGGCAGATCTCTCGGGACTTTTCACGTTGCACTATATTGTTACAAAAAGCCCCCAAAGACCATTTTCTAGGTCGTGACTCGCTTGGGCGAATTCAGCCGGTGAGCTTCCCCGCCGGATGAATGTTGGGGGTGTGCATACTCGTAGGCTAGGCGACTTCTGTGCGGGCAACAAGGAGGGCCTGGTAATGTGTGTCCGTCGTCGTATTCTGGTTCCATCTGTGTCTGCTTTCTATATATAATCTCGTGGATATAGAATATTACAAGTGATTTGAAAGCATCAACAATTGGTAGTTAATGTAAGTTCGAGTTCTTTCGATCCCATCTCGACTCTCGTTACACGTACTATAATCTGTAAAAGATTGGCGGTGATAAACATGCGATGATGTGGAATGTGTCTCTTTTCTGCCCTTTTATCCTCACGACGTTGCCCTTGATCTAACAAAGACGTTAAAATTGTTCGGCTTCACAAACCAGTAGTTCGTTGTTTGCCATTCCCTGTCCTTGTCTTGTAGCTCAAAGTCGAAGTCTCTGATCAGCAATGGGATGAGCTTTGACATTTCCAGATAAGAAATGTGTCGACCAATGCATGTCCGGGATCCCAAGCCAAACTGCTTTCCATCAGTATCTAGCCCTGCCTGAACATGTCAACAGTCGGATGGCTCACCGGTAAGTAGTATGCGTTCATCTGAGCTATCCTGTGTCCACCCTCCTCTTCAGCCTCCAACCATCTCTCTGGCCGAAATTCTGCGACATCGTCCCCAAAGACGTCTTTGTTGTAATGTGCCGTCCATGTGTTGAGGCCTATAGTAGTCCCTTCCGGAAAGAACTGTCCATTCAGTTCTATGCCACCCTCGGCGGCGGTTCTCCAAAGAGGAAGCCCCGTGGCGGGATGTAGACGCAGTGCTTCTTTCATAACAGCTTGCCAATATGGCATTTCGAGGCTCTGTTTGAAGCTAAGATGAGCATCAGTATCGAAAATGAGAGCAGCCTCCTCTCTGACCTTTCTCATGGCATTTGGGTATTGGATGAGATAGTATAAGATGGCTGATAGACTGATAGCTGTGGTGTCGGATCCTGCGATGATGTTGGACATGCTCATCATGAAGACATGATAATCAGTCACTTTGGAGGGGGCGTCTTTATTCTTGATCATGATCTTCTCCAGGAAATCTTCGGGAGATCCATCGGTGTGCACCCTTTTTACCTTCTTTGTCTGCTCAGCCTTTCTCTGTCGGATTCTCTCTCTAACATACCCTGCGAGGTATGTCCGTCCTGCAGCTCCTCCCATGCCAAAAAAGTTGGTCACGGCAAATATGTAGGGATGAAGAGAGGAGTATATGCCAACCAGCGTAGAATACGCGAGGACTTTCTGCAGCGCCTGTAGCAAGCCGGAAACGTCCTCCCCGCGGTCAAGGAAGCCAAACGGTTTAGAAAAGGTAATATTTCCGATGACATCGAACGCATAACATTGGAACCAGTGGCCCATGTTTATGGGCTCCTTGCTCTTCGAAAACAAGGACAAGCGACTTAGCAGGACATCTGCGCACTCATCCACGTATTTCTCGTAGCTGACGAGACTGGACATACTATACAAGCCTTGGAACACTCTTCGTGTTTGAGCGTGTCGCTTGATGTCTTTGTCTGGGAAGATGGTCCAGGCATCGGGACTGGGATGCTTCCATCCGTCATACCACTCTGACTTTGGCAGCTTGGAGCCGATTCCATACACCGTGTTTACAGCCTCCGGTATATCGATGCTGTACATATTCGGAGCAAGACGCACGATCGGGCCATATTGCCGATGGAGTTGGATGTTTTCATGTTCGAAGCGGCCAACGGCAACACGTCTGAAGTACCATAGCCGAGTAAATCGTGCCAATAGAGGGCCTGGAACGTGTCGTGTTGGTGATGTGAAGCTTTTAACAAAGGACAAGAGAAAGCGGGCAACGACTAATAGCCCACACGCCAAAATAGCAAGCTTGAAAGTCAACATGGTCTGTCTCTTGAAGAGCTGATTGAGGACAAATACTGTGAAAATATTGATAACGTCAAACGAGATCTGTTGATCCACCCTTTTAAACCCCCCATCTTCACCTCCAGCCCACACGACTCAAGCTGGCTCGAATGCCGAGGTACCCCGGATTTGGTCCCGCACCACGGACTCGAACAAAGCGTGATTATTGACTGATCGAGCTGGAAGGATGTTGTCGGCCCAGTGGGGAAGTGGAGGAGCGCCTCCAATCCGTTGTCCTTGGCCAGTAGCAGCCGCAATTCCATACCTGCAGAAAGCAGATCTCTTCCTTGCTGTGACCACATACCGGCCCAATCGGCCACGCCAGTTGCTATAATTGGGACCTTTGCCTGATGGATGCGCAAAATACACCTCCATTTCGGGATGCGAAGTGTCATGAGCTTCGGCGATGAATGATGGTTCGGGGCCGGTTACTCTGCGTTATCCATCACCCTCAGGGCACGGCGGCTAATCATGCACCCGTGCTCTTCGATCAAGTTTACACAAAGCTGTATGCAGGTATTATGATATAAGTCGAGAATTACTGTACATTCTTGACGATGTTCATCACTCAATGACCCTGATCTGTTTCCGACTTCTCCGCACCCTTCTCTTTCGCGGCTTTGTCATTCTGGAGGCCGTCACCGGCCTCATCACCATCATCACCTTCATCATTCCACCCAGGGATCAAGTCATTGTCTGCCTCGCCTTCCTGTTCGGGATCCCAGCCCTTCAGTACTCTCGATGCCGCTGCGCTTCCCACAACAGGCAACTTTTCGATCCCTAGTTTCTTCGCTGATTCCGGTATCGCATTGGGATCCAGGGCTCCAATCTGAAGCAAAACGCTGGCTTGATCCCAGTAGACGTGCTCATGGTACAGTTTCCCTCCTCTCAGAGTCACGACGCTGACTACGAGGATTTGGACTCGCTTTTGAGTGGGCGGAACACCTGGCAGGATCCAGGGCATCTCTTGTGTATGCTTGAATCGGACGTGAATCTCATCCACGATGCGGTCAGCGCCAATGGTTCGAGATACTAGGGTCAACTTGAGCGACTTTGGATTTCCAAAGTACTGGGAGTAAAACTCCTGAAGCTCGTCGGCGCCGATGCCTCCTGTCAGGGTTGGAATGTAAGTAACGTGCGGGCTCTTGTGCGTCGTGTAGCTGGACATGGTTGAGTTAAGGCTTCGACTGAAGAATTTCCCTACAGGACGAAGTAAGCATTCAAGTTGGTCGAGATAAATCAGCAGTCATGTCGTTGAGAACATACCTTGGACATTTTCTTCCCACACACGCTCCAAGTCTACCGTCATTCCAAACGCCCTCCTCGCCGTAGCCAAACTCCGGCTCCACGCCAAATCCGCGCTTATCGCATCGTACTCATCTAGATCGTGCTCTGCGAATCCAGGCTGCGCCTGGTAAGTATAACTTGGATACGCAAGCTGAAGTAGGCCGCCCGTCCCGATTCCCGGTTGGATGGTCCTGCGACTCGTGCGCCGTTTGCCTTGAATGCCGACCATTTGCGACTGTACTGTGACATCGATGTCTTCTCCACCGATTAAGTGCACGAGAGTTGAAATGTTGTTTGGGAAACGACCTTTTGGGTCGGGTATTGCGGTTGGATAATAAGCGATGAGCAATCTGATCTTGAAGTCGGAGTTGTTGTCCATGACGTGGTAATGCTGAAGACACATGGCAGCAGCATCGCCGTATGCTATCATGGGTCATATTCATGTTAGCTCCTGTTTCAGAGGATGTGATTTTACGCATGTTAGCCTTACCTACGATACCAAACGTCTCGAATGAGGCCGCCTCATTCCCTCTCAGGCCTTTCAGCTTTCTCAAGTATTCGTCTCCCCCATTTCCCATAGGAAGATACTGGACGTCAAACCCTTCGGCCTGCCACTCCGCGATAGTCACTGCATCGAAGTCATCGCTCTCCGCTGTGATATACAATCGGGGAGGTTGCCGCGGGAAGTCCTGAGAGAGAAAATTAGGATCTTTGTAGTCCGACACATTCTGCGACAAGATGCGCGCATTCCGCCCTTCGGCTTCGGGAACAGCGGCCTTTATCAACTTTGCAGTGTCGATACTCATTTTGGTGACTGTGGCAACGGAAAGCTGACAACTGAAGCCATACAGACGACTACCAACTGCTGTTCAACAAGGCAAGATTCCTCGTTGCTTTGGGGGAGAGTCGCCAGCGTTAAATAAACACTGACGCAAGCGTTCGTAATACACGGCTTATGACGTCAGGGCTATTTTGTCCAGATACTGCTGAAGAAGCATTAATAGACTTGGTGTTGTTCGGTTTGCTGATCATGTCCTCTTAGGTGCAACTATGTCATGGAGAATGCGTGCGCTAAATGCTTCGGGCATCTTCATGAGGAGTTAGTGGCTGTATTGGTGCTGTGGCTTATGTTCTCGCCATTCAGCGACTATGTATCTGGAGAATGAAACGGACGAGAGCAGGATATATGATTTGGAATTGATAAAAAATCATGCTTCCTGTTCGTAATATGTAGCCGCCTGAGTATAGACTCGGTAGTCAGCCTACGAGATGCCCCGTCTCCAGCCGTCGTCAAACCAGCACAAACATCTCCTCCCTTTTAGTCTCGTCCTGAAGGATTTCACCATCCATAAATCCGTCGCAATAAGCCTCACCAAGATACTCATACTTCTCCTCTTGATTGCCGCCATTGTACAACTTCCTTAGAATGTGTGGTGTTGTCCCACCGCGGAATATAACAATGCTGTCGTCCGCACGCATATTCGCTGGTCCTAGACCTACATAACCAGCTCTTGTCCGAAACAATTTCCGACCCAAATTTCTGAGCAAATTTGACGTGAAAACACTTATATCGGGGCCTAAGCTAACATCCGCATCGAGCCCGATTTTTCTGACGCTCTCGGGGTCTGGTCGGGGACTCAGCTTTCCAAAGCGGCGTCGGTATCTGGTGTATTTGGAGGCATACCAGACCCTTGCTGAAGCGACACAAAGACCAGTCATGTCTATGACAAAATCTTGAATAGCTTGGCCTGCGATTTTGCCCGCCAATACTGGATCTAGCGCACAGGTTCGTAGACTCTCCATCTCAGACATTGGTTGCCAATACCAGGGAACGATTCCTATTGTTCGATAGATGCGTGTGAGGCGATAGGATGCAATCGTCTCGTCTGATCTAATGAGTCGTTCCCCGAGACTGTAGACCGCGCTGTGCAGAGCCTGGAGTCTTCGAATGCCAGCAGCTGCGCCGAGACTTTGTGTGAAATGGCGATAGGAAAGGCTGGAGTCGCACAAACGCAGCTGCGGTTCAAGTTCCGCATCTGCAGCAGACAAAGAAGGGTCTCTGCTAAGAGCTGTGGCAGCAGCCATTCGAGTGAATTCTGAGACTTCGTCGAAAAATAACTTGGCCGAACGATAATTGATCTCCTCGGATACTTGCGTATTGGAGTCTACCTGATGCAGTCTTCGTCCCACCTCTTGAATTTCGTCCACGAGGATCCCCCTGATGTGAAGCTGCAGCTCCTCCCCCTCGAGTCGGGTAGGGGCCTCTGTCATTGGTCCTCCGGCGCTGGATGTTGGCTCTTCCAAGGCTACATAAGATACGGGTATCGACAGATCCATAGCCCAGTCCGGTACCCAAGAAGGCAAGCCTTGAGTTTTCTTGGGATGCTGGTTGAATAACAAAATGTCGATGCTCTCTTGTAGAAGTATCTCTGCGATCTCAGAGTACATCTGAGTGACTTTTGCATTATAATCGACGCGAACTCTTTTCTTCACAGTGTCGTCATTTCCTGCCAGCCCTAATAAGCCGAAGATGCGGTCTTGCTCCATCGTTGCTCCGATTTTCTTATGATGGTCGTTGACGTTATACTTCAGTATGAGTTCCTGCAGTCGCCTTCGTTTCATTGTTTCATGTATGGCCTTCCGTTCTTGAAAAATGCGGTTTAGCCCACCCATCTTGCCATAGATAGCATCTCTCTCGCGAATCACACGCTGGGGCACTGCTTTGTTTAAGTTACGCGCCCAGTGTGTGTTGAATATGCTGTAGAACAGGGCGCTGGATCGGAAGCAGTCGAGGCAGAGAGATTTACTGCCACACAAGAATATGACGGATGGTGCCAGGCAGGCCTCTTGGATAACCCATAGTCGATTGAACCAGGTTCGATCAAGGACATCGGCGAAGCCACCCAGTGGAAAACGACTGCCGTATCGTGCAATTAAGTCCAATAGATCATCACGGTCTTCCTGCTGTTCTTCATCCACCGGCAAGGTGGGGTTCATTACAGCATCAAAGACGTGCATGACTTGACTGACTCGGGGTCCAATGAGTCTGGATAGCACTCCTTCTGAGCATATCTCACGGACAACATCAAAGTACTGGTCTGATTCTCGAGTAGGGGGACCCAACCAAACAAGAGTGCGAGCGCTTGTCGTATAGATGTCTTGCATAAGCAACACTTGGTGGCTCTTTTCTTCCTTGTCCTTCTGATTTATGCTGATCTGGTCAATGAAGATGCGGTCCGTCATTCTTTGAGAGGTCAAGTGAAGAAGTGCACTTTCGAGGGCTGGAAAGATGTACAGCTTGCGAGAGCCGTCGTCAGTTTCGACGATGATTTGCCTATTTGGCTCTACCTGCCCAGCTGGCACGTTCCATGAGTATGAAAGAGCATCGTAACGACCGCCTGAGTCGATATCTAGTTCTGAAAGTCTGATGCGGATGGTACCGGAGACGTCTGGGATGAGTGAGGGTTTCGGCGGTAGAAGTTGAACCAAGCGAAAGACTCTCTTGGCTGGAGAGAGTGGAGTGTATTCGTACGTTTCGAGTGGCTTGAAGTCGAAGAGCGACATTTTGCTCGCGATGCGGGGGGGGAATCTGACGATGTTTTACCCACGCTGCGTGTCGGCTTGAGGATGCTTTTTATCAACAAGAGGCATCGCGCCCGCTGTTTGGCTAGCTTCTCAGATTATGCACCTCAGCCGCAATATTGATTGTATGGCGGCTTGGCAGAGTCCAGCATGTGAAGGGTATAGTTGCAAGCGCTATCGCGGATATGCTCAAAGTATGCGTACGCGGAAGAATTAACCTTAAAATAAGCAGTTTCTATTGTGCCTTACAGAGAGCGGCCGGGGTGGTGGGCGCAAACACTGCGCTGTCACTCAACCACTGAGGTAGTTGTAGAAATGGGGTTGATTACCACTACGAGGTTCTTGAACTGATAGACTCGCAGTCAGGATAACTTTAGTTCGCTAGGTAGTTCTACTATCAACAGAAAATTAACGGGCATCCTCCCTGCGGGTTCTCACGACCCCGCGGTTCTCAAAGCCACACCAGGTGTATCACTGATTCATGCCATTCGTCGTCATAGACTGTCGCTGTAGACATTGGGCCTTGTGCAATCGTTCCTCATGCCCTCTCAAGCGCAATAGCCTCCCTGCGACTCACGCTCTGGGGATCAAAGTACGGCTTCTCGCCCAAGCTCACAGCCCTGGATCCAGTGCGCTCTCCGAGTCCTTCGTTGATGTAGTCCGGGGTAGCGGCGTGGTAGACGCTGCGGTTGTCCCAAATAGCCAGGTCGTTGACGTTCTGCCATCGGTTGCGGACCTGCAGATCGTGGTTTTCGACGATCAATTGAACAAACCAGTTCAGGAAGTGCTTGGACTCATCATCTGTCAGGCCATGGATGTACTGGACGTGATGGCCGACAGCAAAGACGCTCTTCCAACCGGTAACAGGGTTGGTACGAATAACTGGGTGAATGGCTTCAAGCACATCGCCGACGTTTTCGGGAGCTCCTCGAGGAGTGGAAAAGAGAGAGAATCCATTCGCATCGGCGGCCTCTTTGAAACCAGGCTGTGCGTAGTAGGCAGTCAAGCCGTCCAGGAAGTTCTGCAGCGGCTTGGAGATGCGATCGTAGAGCTCATACCCAGATGCCCACAGTGTATCTAAGAAGTAGCATGTTAGCTTGTTGCAAGATAATTTGAAGGCTGTATACTGTCGAGGACTATTTACCTCCTCCCGTCTTTGGCAACTCGGTCAATCTCAACAAAGCATAGTCGCTCGGAATGGGCTCGAAAGTGATGTCAGAGTGCCACTGTCCCTTTTGGCTCTGGCGCTTGCTGGACTTGAGAAAGCGGTCAGAGTAGATCTTCTTGGCCTGCTCAGACGAGATGACGCTGATCTCGTCGTCTCCGGTGCCGCTGCCGCGGGCGCCGTTGTGAACTGGGTGAATGTGGAGTCCAGAGGTCGCCGGCTTTCCGCTCAGCTCTCCAAGGCGCTGGACGAGTTCTTTCTGGAGGTCGTTGGTGATGTTATCTTGTTTGCGGAAGAAAACGACGCCTCGTTGAGAGACTTGGGAGCATTGTTAACTTGGAGACTCTAAAATGAGAAGATAGCAAAAGAGTTTTGCAAGGGTCATACTTGTGATAGCCAAATCCCTGAGCAGCTCGTCAGAGTTAGGGGCCCTAAGCCATTCCGCAAGGTCTACATCCGCAAATTCCCTTCCAATAACTGGAGTGACATCGAACTGTTTGAACTGGTCAAGAGCTCCGCTCAGCTTCAAGGGCTCCCGATGTCCGGTCTCAAGGGTTGGTTGGGCTGGAGTCTTAAGGTTCGCAACCGGCTTCTGCTTGAGATTCTCTGTGACTTGTGTCACGGTCTCTGTAACAGATGGAGCCATTTTGCTTTGTTTCTTTGATCAATCCGCTGGATACTCAAAGTAGAAGTCAGTTCTGTCTGTGATCTGCGAGGTCTAGTATCACGTTTTCTCAGGGCTGGGATGGGCGAAGAGGCGAGAACAGGGAACTATTTAAATACTTCGCTGAGCCATACAAGGTTTCCCTAATGCAGCAGCCTTTCTTCACGATAGAATTATGCAACACTGCCTATAATTTCATCATCTTTAATCTCTGATATTGCGTGTCGCTTATCACTATTGATTGGTAAGTTCGAACAATATCACACAACCCCAGTGTCCTGCGTGATAGCTCAGCTCCGGAAGTCGGTCACCCAATTGCGCGACACTCAGTCTGAACCCCTGGGTCATTCTCTTCATCTTGGTTCTTGGCTTGCGGCTTATCGGCGTTCTGCTATATAGAGAGCATCAAAGATGGTGTCTTCCCCGCGATTGCGTGCCGAAGTGCAGTTTGACGCGATTCTAGTGTGCGATCACGAACGCAACATCGCGCAATCCCACGGATCATCGCGACATATCAAGCGATGGTGCGAGTGAAGACGAAACGAGCTTCTTGATTTCACATGAGCAATTTTGCAATGCAAGAGCATTACAAACGGCGTCAGCTGTAGATTCCTGATGTCTATTTTATCCGTTCGCAAGGCAAAATGGAAGGGGTACTGTCACAGATACGGATAATAGTAGGTTATATCAAGCGACATACTTTCAGTTGGTGTCCGAGCAGTAGTACTCATCTTCTGACGATAGAAATGACACACCCTCATTATGGCAGATCAATCTCAACAATCTTATCGCAGGCTTCAGATGGATTGTATTGTCGAGATAGCTTGGAATCGATCGGCAATACGGAGGCTACCCGCATAGAGCAAACTTCAATGTGGCATTGTTGTTTGTTCCTTAGGTACCTTGGGTAGTGTAGTAGGCCCCGAAAGTCCTGATACCATAGGATGCCACCAATAGGCTTCAATCTGCATCTCTGCCTTTTCAACTGCCACTTGTCCGTTTGTCTTTCGGAGCAGCTGAGGTTTTCCTTGCTGCATTACAATGAACGCATATCTAGGTTGAGCTTCGGGATGAATAACTCCGACAACTCGTGAGTCGAATCAATTTCTGTCATTGACAGCACGCTGAGCTTAACAAGCGACCAATTTCGTTGACCGGTGGCTATGTCATACATTAAACGGCCGACCGTGGATGATAGCAAAGATTCTCGTCACGCGCCAACGGATTTTCCAATGTCAGCCACAACTCATTGCTGTCAACCAACAGCAGTGGATTTAGCACTCATAAATAAGTGCGGCCTGGCCACGGAAACATTGTTTCGTGCCGGAACTTTATGATCCGGTAGCGTTCGCCGCTCATCAGCGCTAATCCGCCAGGTCCCGTGGCTAAATATAGCAGACGAACAAAACGAACCAACAGATCGTAACTACCTTACCGGAGACAGTTTTTGTTACCCATCCAGTTAGTAGCTGATGGCTGTGCCTGTTGTCAAGTACTAGGCTCGAGCTCCGGAAAGTAAGAGAGCCGGATCTGAAATCTCGAAATAGCCTTCTCAGCATAGGTAGTTTATTGTCATGAGTCTCAGTGGCGGTGCTAGAGAAGGTGGTCAAATTCTGTGATATATAAACTTTTAAGATGTTCTGCAGTCTATAGGATATCATCATCACATTCGGCTCAAAGTTTCAGCAATAGTCATCAACTCGATTATCTTTTACCAACTCACAACATTGGCAGAAGCCCTTCACGGCATTCATATATTCGAGAATCTGACAAACATACACCATCGGCAACGTACAATCAACATGAGGTCTCTCTCGACGGTTGTTAGCTCCGTCGCCATTCTCCTGACCTCAGTCAGCGCTTTTCCTACGGGCAATATTCCTCGTCAAACCGACAGCTGCTTCATCCGCTTGAAGAACGGCGATGGTGATGCGTCCGTCGGGGCCAGTATTCCAGTGGATGCACTCTTTTCAACCGACGATAACCGCCAAATCAATGCTGGTGTAAACGCACAAGCCGTTACTCCCGGCTGTGTCTGCCAGGCCTTCAGTGATGCTGCCGGGACACTCAAGCTTGGCGGTATCTTCGATGACCAGACGCTGGTTAGCTTTACCGATGCTTCCAGCGGAGAGGTCGACTCTCAGATTGACCAGGCTGTCCCCATCGGCTCCTTCTGCTGTGTTTTAGCTCCCAACACTGTGCCCACTTGCTCCAGTATTGGCACTCCTTCTCCTCCGCCTCCCACCGACGCTGTTCGTGTTCAGATCAACTCAGTGGATGATTCAGCGGTGCAGATTCAAGTTCCTGCGGATGGCTCGCCTTTTGCAGTCTCTTTCGGCTTGGCCAACGCGGTGGAGATTGTTGACGTCGAGAGCTCGAACAAGGCCACCTGCCAAGCGTTTTCTGACGTTGCCGGCACCGTCGCGGTTGGAAACCCCTTTGGCACCGACCTCTTGTCTCTGAACGGCGGAGCGGCTGTCGACATCCTCTCTTTCCGCTGCAAGTCGACATACTAACAGCAAACAATTTCTTTTACTCTAATGATACATGATATAGAGGCTATAGAAGGTATGGGACTTATGAATATAGTTATATAGGAAAGACGGAGATAATGAGATCTTGGGGAGTTCGGGATTCAATGAATGGCAATAGACGAGCGCACAATGAATGGTGTACGGGTGAAGCAAGCATATCTGGTCTTGATGATAATAGCATAGTCGATTATATTATATTTCATCCCCTATTTGATCGTCGTTTTTCTGACTCAATGCTTCACGAGATTATTCACAGTCGTTCTCCCGTCTTCTCATAGGAGCTTTTGCCTACCCCAGGTTAGAATGGATGTGTTGATATCGGCTCAAGGTCATTGGTGCTGTAGCAACTTGGCTTAGCTATTCCTCTCCTATCGCAATTAGGCAGGTGTGACTGCTTTGACACGATATGTAGATGGATACGTCAATTGCGATAGCATCCCAGAATCAGTGAGAATTCGTATTATGATTTGCCACTTGAACTGAACAACATCACGATACATTGCGACGGCCTTGACCAAGCGGTCTTCTTCCCTACCACTTCGTAATCATTCGTTCTGTCTAAAGCACCATCACTGACCTAATAATTAGGCAATTCCGTCATTGAGCGGTGTATCCTCCGTCCACTGACAACATAGCACCGGTGATCCAGCGTGCTTCGCTGCTTGCGAGGAATACAGCAGCTCCAGTTATATCCTCTGGCATACCAATGCCATGCAATGGGTGACGCTGCCCGATCTCCTCGGCGTCATGGATTCGGGTCGTATTTTCAAAGATGGCTGTCGCGGTGTCTAGTCGGAATGGCATCAGAGACAAATCAATCGACACACAACTGTGTTTGCCATTTACTACTTACATCCCGGGCATATAGCGTTGCAGTGGATGCCATCCTTAGCATAGTCCATCGCAATCTGCCTCGTCAGATTCGTTACAGCTCCTTTAGAAGCGGCATAGCATGCTATTGTTGTCGTTAGCCTCTATTTTCCCTTTGTGCACTGCTTTGAGGTAGGAGTCTTACGAATCTCTTTACCCCCAACCAGGCCATATATGGAGGATAGGTTGATGATCCAGCCGCGATCTCCGGAAACGAGCTTGTCTTGAGACAGCATCTGAGCAATCACGTATTTACTAGCGAGGAATACCGATTTGGTGTTAACTGCCATCGTCAAGTCCCACCATTGCTCCGGTGTCTCGTGGATCCTAAGGGCCTTCTTCCCAGCCTCGATGGAGATACCAGCATTGTTGACCAACCTATTGCATGCATACGCTTTTAGTCAAGACTTCGAGTAGAGCTTGTGCGTCTCCCGATGAAGGGCCTCTCTTACACGTCGATGCGACCATATTCTGCAACCGTCGCTTTTACCATTTCTTCTACCTCGAGAGCAAGACTCACATCCGCCTTGATATACACAGCTCTCCCTCCTTTCTGTCGAATTAAGGCATCCGTATCGATCCCCCGCTCAGCCTCTATCTCTTGTCGCGCATCTGGTCTCAAGTCAACACAAGCGAGAAAGGCGCCCTCTCGCGCATACGCCAAAGAAATTGCTCGACCGAGTCCGGATGATGATCCGGTTACGATGCAAACTCTGTTCAGCAGGCGATGGGATGAAACAGCTTCCGCCATCGTGACGGATGCGACTGAGTCTTTACTGACGACGAGCTGTGGCAGCAATGTTATTGCATTTTCTCCATCAACACTGATTGGCATTCATCTAGGTACCTTTATGTCGTATAACTGGTACCGCAGAGGCAATCGTCGATCAACGTCATGTGAGCGCCGCAGCTAGTCGGAAGGCTTGCCTCTGGAATCGGCTTACTTGCCACGAAAAATCGTTTGCGCAGAGGAATTGTACCGAATTCCCATTTATTTGCACTCTTCTTGTACCCCCAACTACCGTTTCAAACAAAAATCCATTCTGGATCTCTATCATTGCTCCGTCTAGCCAGCAAGTCTGCAATTCTAGACGCATGGTGGCTTGTTGTCCATCCAAGGTCTCGCTCAATACTTGACAGCAATTCTAATACGACTTGGAGGTCTTGCGAATCGGTGAATACTTGCCCCGCCACAAAAAGGGCCTGGACGGAGTGCACTCGTACAGAATCCGGAGGATTCGTCAGGCTGATGCCGCAAATCTCGCGAGCATGACGAAGAGCCTCACGCTCGCTTTGCCGATACGAGTCTAGGCGAGCAGAGACGGACGAGCGGACTGCTGTGGACTCTTGAGGCTGGTTTGTCAATAGCAAAATGCAGGCCATGTGGTAGCTCTGCATTGTCGCGGCACATATTGGAGCTTCGTACCATATCTTCTCAAAGTTCAGAGGGCAACTATCTTCTTCTCCCGTCATTTCAGCAGCACTGGTTCGGGCGCTTGGGTGGAAGCTCGCCGGTAGGGTGCAGCGCCAATTTTGAAGCTCTCTGGTCAGGATATTCCATCTCTCGAGTAACTGTTCTTGTGTCACACCAACAAGTGGTCGTTGGCCCGGTGGAAGAGCATAGTGCTTGGGATCGAGGGCATCTCCAGCAGCGATATGGTTCGCGATCTTGCCCAGGAGCCAGACGAGCTCGTTGCTCTTTGCATCTTCTTCAACATCGGCTGCGTTGGAAATGTGATAGGGCATGAGTGATCCATGCTCGTCGGTGACAAGACCCGCGTTTTGCCACAGGCGAATGTCCTTCAAATCCAGCCGTGTCTGCGTCTCACTAATAACTGCTGAAGGTCAGTGCTGTCAGGCCCATGTATCGGAGCATCACGAGAGATCCTCACAGGAACAAAGTAAATCTTGTCTCGCTAAGCTCCAGAAGATGGGCCCAGAAACAGCTGCTCTCGGGATGGCGATCGGAGAGCCCAGGACCGACTCAGAGTCAAACGTCGGACTGAAAAGCGGCAGCGCACTGAGATGAGCGCTCCAAGCTGTGCCTGGCGCATCCATTAGCTCATAGGTGCAAAGTATCGTTATTGAAGCAAAGAGCTCCTCTTTGTCGGCATCGTCAGTCTCAAATGCTCCCCGATTAATCGCGACCTTGAGATGTTTAATGGCGCAATCATAATGCTTGGCGGATTGATACTGCCAATCAACAGTATCTTCGAGAGTCGAGATGACTCTGCGGGTCTCTTCTGGCTTATCCCCAAACTGTCTCTTGGCGATCCTTTGACAGTGCCCCAAGTGTTTTGCTGCCAGCGCGCAAACGGCAGATTTCAAGAGTGGCTTTGTTGCAGCCATGACTGTTACCTTATGTGAAAAGTAGGCTCCAGTATCAAAGGTATCCATCCTGCAACTGGTCAGCCTTCGGATCTATTAGGGCAGAAATCGAGTCCTCACCATTGTCCGGGTCCTTCCTTGAAGTGTCGCAATAATCGCAAAGACAAAAGGTTGCCATTCAGGCCATTGTGTGGCCGCGGTATTGACAGCGGCTCGTCTCTTTGTGGAGATACTGAGGAATCCTGCGAGGAGATGCCCCTGTCGCTGTTTGAAGTCTCCTCTTTGCGATCATGAGGCGAACTTGTTATTTCATCATCCACATTCCGTGCCGCCCCTTGGTCGAGCTCCTCCAGTTCACATTGGAAGAGGGCTGTCGAGTCAGATTCGTATGGGTCTTCAATGTTCACAAACGTTACTTTAGTACAGAGTCAGCCTCAATAGTAAACACTTTTTGTCGGGTTTTATACAATTCTTGGGAATGTCCAGCCAAACTTGGTTGTCATTAAATGGTTCGCAAGGGTCGACCTTGTTCTTTGTTCTTCCATTCGACAGTACACTGCCGTCAAACGTGCGAAAGACGGCCCTCTCGACGTAGCGACAGTCGCGCGAACTCTTAATACAGTTGTGACAGATTGGCTGCTCTTCATCACACTTCAGTTTCCGGTGCCGACAGGTAATACTGCGAGTTGTTCATTTAGACAAGCGCCTTTTGGAGCGACAGCTCTGACTCACCAACCACTGTATGAACGCATGCTACCCCTGCTCTTCCCTTTGACTATCCGTGTACTTCTTTTCAGTCGGTAGTCAACATTTGTAGAGCATTTCGAAGACATTGATGCCAATGGCGATTGGGATGGACGAAGCGGTGATGCCTTCAGTGTAGATGAGAGGATGGGGCAACTAAGCCGAGACGTTGTTGGCCCTGAGCTCGTCTCGAAACTAAGATTCGGCTATTCGTTGGCCAGAACGTGCGTCCTGCTCGCCGAAAGCTGTACCGAAGATGCGCACACTGGCCAGAAACTTCCGATGTTACCAATGAGCGTAGTAGCTCCAACGAAGATATCCAAGGAGCAAGGTATGAAGTAGCTATGGAATCTTCCCGCCCCGGTTAGTATTCAATGTTTCTGATGATCATTACTCTCCACAATCTGTATCTTCTCCGCAGACGCAGACGCATATTTTCCACTAGTTCTCTGTAAGCAGCCACTTATTGCAGAATAACCTGCAGGTCAACTGGGAGCTCCATCAACTGGCATCGGATTGGGCCGGCTTAGTTGCTAAAATCGTCCGTTGTCCTCGGCATACTTGCCCCTAAGGGCGAGCCGCAAACGAGAGAAACGTGATGTGCCTCGCGTTCAACTGCCCCAATACAACGGCTCCATCCTGGATGTTTGCAACGGCTAGAATGAGGGGTCAAGCCAGACTCATAACTTCGTTTTCGAGACATCAATTGTCGGCCTACCTTACAAATGCGTCTCGAGTTAGTATTACATCATGCGGTGCGCCTACTCTTGGGAGAGGCTTAACACAGAATGGTGTAACATGATTTACCATAAATGCCCGCGTATAGACGACTGAGCACGAACATTAGCAATGTTCTCTCCTACGCTTTCAGTTCTACCGGGTGTAATCTTCCCATCAAGTACACTACATCACTGCTACCAGCCACGTCACTGATCATGGCAGAGAACACAGATGTTCTCATTATTGGTGCTGGCATATCGGGCGTTGGATTCGCTATACAGCTGGTCCGGCAGTTCGGTACCAGAAATTTCAAGATCATTGAGAAGTCCGAAAACATCGGCGGAACATGGTGGATTAACTCGTATCCTGGATGTGGATGCGACGTACGTATCAATCTGGTCTTATGAGTATTATCTGACTCATAATGCTGATGATCAATCCGAGGCAGGTTCCGTCACACTTCTTCTCTTATTCGTTTGCACTGAAGCCGGACTGGTCTCGCAAATATGCCCTTCGATCCGAAATACATCAGTATTTCACAAGTGTAGCAGCCCAATACGATATTCACCGACATGTTCGGCTAGCATCTCTTGTGGAGAAGGCTTCTTGGGATGGGGTATCCGGAACGTGGAACATCACGGTTCGAGACTTTCGAACATCCGAAGTCACGGAATATCGCAGCAAGATTCTGATATCTGCGGTCGGGGCACTGTCTGTCCCCAGAAAATGTACCATTCCAGGTGCTTCAAGCTTTCGTGGGGAGATCTTCCACACGGCACAGTGGGATCACACCTTCAACTGGAAGGACAAGGAGCTTATTGTTGTCGGTCAGACTCACGTTTTAGAATGCGAGGCTTGCTGCTCTGATGCTAATAGTGCCATCGCAGGAAATGGATGCTCTGCGACACAAATAATCCCAGAGATTAGCTCAGGTCCAGGAGCAGCAAAAATGGTGACACAATTCTGCCGGCAGGCACATTGGCTGGCTGAACGCCCAAACCCGGAATATTCTGCCTTGTTCAAGTGGACGATGAAATGGGTTCCTCTGGCGATGCGAATCTACAGAGCGAAGCTTTACTGGAACCAGGAACGAGACTTTGTGGGATTTGACATCGAAACAGGTGCTGAGATCCGTAGAGGCTGGGCGGAAGATGCCGCCGATTACATTCGTGCGAATGCACCTGCGCACTATCGAGACTTTCTCGTGCCCAAAACGGAGATTGGATGTAAACGACGTGTCAACGATACTGGCTATCTGGCCAGCCTACACCAAAACAACGTCAAGCTCATATATGACGACCCGGTGGAGGAGATTGTACCGAGTGGCGTCCGAACAAAGGCTGGAAGGACTGTCCATGCCGATGCAATTGTTCTTGCTCATGGCTTCGAGACGCAAAAGCCGTTCGGATCTTTCCAAGTCCTTGGTGAAGGAGGCGTCAGCATCCAAGACCATGTCAGTATAACGACCCACAGACAAGTACTGCGAGAAGTCTACAGCATTGGTTGACTCAGTGACTGCAGTGGAATCAACTCAGCGAAGGAGTCCCTTCGGCCTATCTCGGAACTTGCCTTTCAGGATTCCCAAATTTCTTCATCATGATGGGCCCCAACACTCTCAGTGGCCATCTCTCCGTCATTTACACTACAGAATGCCAGATCAACTTTACACTGCGAATCATCAGGCCTATCCTAAATGCAATGGGCACGGGAACCTCGGCGCTGGCAACTGGTAGACCTACCTGCGATATCGTTTCAGTCGAGCCTTCAGCCGAGAAAAGAGATATTGAAACAGTTCAACAAAAGGCTGGAAAGCTGGTCTGGGCATCCGGGTGTACGTCTTGGTTCATTGACGAGAACACCAAGAGAAACACTATCATGTTCCCAGATTGGCAGTACAAGTTCTGGTTGAGAAGCGTCTTCATTTCTTGGGACGATTTTGTCTACGAAACATCCAAGAAGTTCTGTCAAAAAGCTATGGCGGAAGGAAGTGGTGGAATGGGGGTCTATTCCGGCACTGTCGTTGGTGGTATCCTCGGGATCGTGGCTCTTTATATTAACCGTGACGGGCTCCTTACTTCCTTGGAGACAGCTAGAGACTTTGTCATGCCACTGGTTAAGCTGGCATCATAGGACGGGCGGCCGTCCACTTCCTCTGCTTCTACCTTTAGATGCCTCGCCCAGATGAGCGGAACCTTGTAGGAATACATTCGACAGTTATGGGTCAGTCTTCATGGATGCCTACACTTCTCCATGCACCGTATGGCACTTACTTCTGATTCTCTATGCAGGTTGCGGGGTACTGCACGATGTGCCTCTCTGAAGCTTTCACGATTTGTCTCTGTATGCTGGAGGAAAGTTTGCCGAGAGAAGCGGTTACTGAAACTCTGTGCAATGAGATGAAGCCATACTTTCTTGAGCTAAACAGTGTTTTAGCTGGCTCATAAGCAGTGAGGCGAGAAGCTAAACAAAACTATAACGACATCTGATTCGCTCGCATATCAGGCCCAAGACTGGGAAACCGGCGACAGACTAGAACATTTGGTGGAGGAATCCATTCTATTGCTAGCGCTACATCAAGCACTTACAACAATCGGTGGTTTTCGGCTCACGTTACGTAGGATTAACCACACCAATCGGATCAAAGGAGAATGCTACGGAGCATTATAACAAGTCACGTTGAGTCATCGTGGAGAATTCTCTCCTGTGCCAGTACCCTTCAGGGCAGACACAGATGATGTGAATGTCCGACAAATCAGTGACATTTCTCCTCAATCGAAACGTTGCCAGTTGACTTTGTTTCTGAAGGAAAGAAAAGACAAAAAGAGTCTGAAAGATGACGCCCCTACAAAATGCAAAACAGATAGAGAACATAACAGCCACATGAATCTCAGCAGCATAATATCGTCTCCAAGATATGACAAGAGAATGCATACCCTGTATCCGCACCTCTGTAACACTGGTGGTCACAATATTACAAACATGTTTCGCATTAACTACAATCCTGGCCTTACTCAGCGCGCTAATTGGGATTGACCTGGCTGTGAACTGCGGGTCGCTGAATGGAGTGTCTGCAAGTATGTACACGATCACGATGAAGCCTGCAGCTCTATCTGCCCTTCTAGACCTCGTACTAATCCTGATTATTATAGTAGCGTAACAGATGAAGCCAAATTCTACGGTCGGATATGCGGCGGAATCTAGAACTGGTATTTGGTAGTATATGCGAGAAACGTCTCATACTGAACTATGATTTGCCAGGATCTCATAATCTGTAGTCTGGATACTGCATCGAGTTCAAGGTCGCCGAGCCGGACACTTTAAAGGCACCTATCGGATAAAATGCCGCCAATTCTGTCTGACTCCCTACTGCAAGGAAGGGGAGGACGCTCGCGGACTCGGGGGTGGAAGACCTTGAATCACACCCACCATCTTCACCGACAGGCACAATCTCCAACCTAATCGGATATTATGTCGAGAACAGAGTAGCGGCGCCGAGATCTGCAAGCATGCTTAATTTTGCCCCCTGTATTCATCCAATACACGGAGACATGTCATCGTAGTGGGCTCTTTTTAGTGTAGCGCGTTCATCTGTCAAGTAAGATGGACCTCGTATAAGCCAGCCGTTCCAGTGTATGGCTCACCTCCGGGCCAAGGTTCCCCCGCGTAACGGACGCGGCTACTACGTTACAAACTTGACTAAAAGCCGAATTGTCCCCTGATAATCAACAATCTTACCCAATTCAATCTCTTGGACCTTCCTGTTTCATGCTTCGATGTAATGCTTCAGCTCATGGGAGGCTGTTTGACTTGAAAATTCGTGTTTCATGACCGAACGACAGCCGGTAGAATGGGTATGCTGGAATAGCGTTGAAGGAGGTGGTATTTAGGGGTCGATCTGTCAAGTTGTCTCGACAAATGCAGAATTGTCGAGCAGGTGCTTAAAGGGGGTATAAAGTAGAGCATCAATGCTCGTACATGCGATCCGTTGAACATCAGTCACCAGAGTCTTCTTCTTCTCGAGTAAGACCTGATATCTCCAGCCCGGTATTACCACTCATCAAGATGCGGTCCAGCGCTGTTCTCGGCCTCGCTACCTTTGGCGCCGTCGCGTCGGCTTTCTCGCTCCCTGCCAACCTCAAGACTATCTACGATAACCACAAGGCAAGTCTCTAGCATAGGCTCACCAGCGTCGGCTGGATATACTGACTCTTCGTCATCGTAGTCAGGGACATGTGCCAACAAGTTGTCGGGCACTTTTAGCGGCGGCGCGGCATACTGTGGCGACCTGCCCGGCGCTATTTTCCTCAAGGGCAGCGCAGGCAATTATGACAACCTGGATATTGACTGTGATGGCGCCAACAACTCGGCTGGTGCTTGTGCCAATGACCCCACTGGCCAGAGCCAGACCGCCTTCAAGGACACCGTGAGGACGTTCGGCATCTCTGACCTCGATGCCAACATTCACCCGTACGTTGTCTTTGGTAACTCGGGCGGCAACCCGTCTTTCAACCCTCAATCTTCTGGCATGCAGCCTCTCAGCGTCATGGCTGTTGTCTGCAACAATCAAGTTGTAAGTGACAGCTGTTCCCCAATTAGCTGGCATACACAGAGTTCAACAGAGGCTGATTCAAGTCAATTCATCAGTTCTATGGCATCTGGGGCGATACCAACGGCGGCACATCCACCGGCGAAGCGTCTCTCGCTCTGGGTAAACTTTGCTTCCCCAACGAGGGCCTCAGCGGCAACAATGGCCACGATCCCAAGGATGTCCTGTTCATTGGCTTTACCGGCTCTGGAGCTGTGCCTGGCAAGAGCGGCGCCAACTGGACGGCAAAGAATACCAACGACTTTGAGAATAGCATCAAGGCTTTGGGGGACAGGCTCGTTGCCAGTCTCCAGGCTTGAAGAAAGCCAGCTTGGAGAAGCCTTGATAAAACGCGACTTCAATAATAGGGACCATTACGCAGTTACGATGTAGTATGTATATATGCGGCTATAGTACATAGTGGCTCGAAATACATTGGAGAGAGGGAAATTAGCATATTGTTTCTATCTAAATTGGTGCAGAAAAAGCATTTAACTGCCGAATGGGACTAGGAAGAGCCTACTCGACAGGATCAAAAGGGCGAATCATACGCTATCAACCTCGTGCTCTCCTCAGCTACTACTTGCATATGACACGAGCAGCGACGAAGCTTCTCCTCACAGGCCCCAGAATCTGGGGATCGTGATGACGATTGGTGCGCATGGCTGTCGTATTGAATTGTGGATTTTACAGCGGAGATCAGCTTCAACAAGTGACCGGTGCTGGTGGTTCTGAACTCCACCGAACGGCCCCCGTCCTTGACTCAGGCCCGCGGATATTATTGGTGCGCATAATAACCGACAAAAGCCGGAACGATCGACAGAGGTGCCGATGGAGCATTTTGCTTGTCTGTCAACGCTCTCTGACGGCTCTGGCTCTGGAGTGACGACAAAATCAGTACTCGTACTAGTAGTAGTAGTTTGCTTAGCCAACTCCAGCTTTTCCCCATGGAGGACCCCAGACTGGAGGCTTCTCATGCGATTCGATCTCATCATCGGACAACGACCGGATGGCTCCGACGAGGCGTTTAGGCGTTGCAGCTGGCGAATGAGAGTTCTTAATTTCGACCATGGAGTTCGATTTCTCGATACCACTTCTTCGGACAGGATCAGCTTTTTTGGTGCTGCCTAATGCCACGCGGGATGCCGATCTTCGGATGTCCCACGATGACTTCATACAACTATATAAAGGACCCCCGTCTGTCATCTCTGATCTGGGGAAGAACAACGACCCCAGAATCCTCAAGCCTACTCGTTCTCGGGTGCGACCGAGCATCACCACCATGACCGTCCTCACCTCACCTCTGGCCAGCTATAATGTGGCCAACAAGCTGTACAAAGCCACTCTGCTCAACACCGTCTGCCTGGTGGCCGGACTGTCAATCTTCTTCTTCGGTTATGACCAGGGATTAATGGGCGGCGTCAACACGACGCGTGACTATGCCGAGCGCATGGGCTTCGGCCACTGGGACGAAGACCAGAACATTGTCGTCGTCGATAAACCCCTTCTGCAAGGCGGTATCGTGGCCGTCTACTATCTCCCTGGAACGCTTTGCGGCTGTTTGCTCGGTGGATGGCTTGGTGATCGATATGGCCGTATCAAGACAATCGCCATTGCCTCTGCGTGGAGTGTTTGCGCAGCTGCCCTGCAAGCGTCAGCGATGAATGCGAACTGGATGTTTTGCGGTATGTCACAAAATGCTTCATACAACACAATCGCGGGGCAATAGCTGACGGCGAGATGAAATAGCCCGCGTACTGAACGGCGTCGGCACTGGAATCCTGAACGCAATCACGCCTGTGTGGGCAACTGAGACTGCTGCTCACACTTCTCGAGGCCAATTCGTCTCAATCGAGTTTACCCTAAATATCCTCGGTGTCGTTGTGGCCTACTGGCTGGAATTGTAGGTACCTCCTCGCTCAGGTTCCTTTAAGTCCTGTAAAACTTCTCGCTAACGCCACGACAGTGGCACGTCAAAATATCACGACAACACATCTTCCTTCATCTGGAGATTCCCCGTCGCCTTCCAGATTCTTCCTCTCATCCTTCTTTTCATCATCATCTGGATCATGCCCGAATCACCCCGCTGGCTCGTCAAAGTGGGCCGCGAAGAGGAGGCTCGCTTCATCCTTGGTCGTCTCCGTGGTGATGAGGGTGAGGACCGTCTCAAAGCGGAGGCAGAGTACAACGATATCATCAACATCCACAAGCTGGAAGTAGATACCGCCAAGCAGCAGAGCTACCTCTCCATGTTCTTCGGTATCGGCTCTGGCAAGTTACATACTGGCCGGCGTGTCCAGCTTGTCATCTGGCTCCAAATCTTGCAGGAGTGGATTGGTATTGCGGGAATCACCATCTACGGCCCTGAGATCTTTACGATTGCCGGCATCAGCTCAAAGGACAGATTGTGGGTCAGCGGCATTAACAATATCACATACATGGTATGTTCGCCCCATTGCTCTCACTCAAAGCTGCCATCACGCTAACATGAAGTCAGTTCGCCACTTTGATCTGCGTCTTCACCATCGATCGCATCGGTCGTCGTTGGACGCTATACTGGGGAGCCGTTGGTCAGGGTGTTTGCATGTTCGTCGCCGGTGGTCTCGCTCGAGCAACCATCAATGCGCAAGGCGAAGCCAGCCAAAGCCACATTGGCGGTGCTGCAACATTCTTCGTGTTCCTCTACACAGCAATCTTCGGTGCCACGTGGCTTACAGTTCCCTGGCTGTATCCGGCCGAGATCTTCCCTCTGCAAGTCCGAGCCAAGGGAAACGCCTGGGGTGTCGTTGGCTGGTCCATTGGCAACGGCTGGTGTGTAAGTAATCTTCTTTTCTTGTCTTCCGTTTAAAGATTGGCAGTCTGATTAGCTTCTTAGGTGCTTCTGCTTCCTACCATCTTCAAGGCACTCAACGAAAAGACACTATACATTTTTGGCGCCGTCAATGCCCTATCCATCGTCGTCGTGTGGGCTCTGTATCCCGAGTCCAACCAGCGAACATTAGAGGAGATGGACCTTGTCTTTGCTAGCGACAGCATCTGGGCCTGGGAGGCTGAGCGAAACTTTGCCAAACTCAAAGCTGAGAACCCTGATCTTGTTCAGGGCTCAACAAACCACGGAGTTGTAGACATTGAGCAAGTTGCCGAACCAAAGGAGTAGGCTTGTCGATACGACTTTGACTCTCTATAATACCGCTTTTCCTACTTACTTTGAGTTGCCTCGGCGAGAACACAATCTCCGCTGAATCTGCACATGTGCTTATACCAAACTTAGACACGCTGGAGGTACTAATGACTGAACTTATTATTGTATGTGGTAGACAATAAAGGCAAGAGCTGAATATATCCGTATCTCATAATCTCATCGGTTATCACGCTCCAGCCCAAAACCGATCCCAGGCGTCTCGGCAACCCTCAGTCTGCAAATGCTTCAAAAAGTCGTCAAATTTGATTGGCTCCTCCCCTTCCAATCTCATCACTCCATCCTTGATCCCCTGCCATCCCTCCACAGGCAACTTGATGTAATTGTGCCTCTTATCGCAGAAATGCATGACAGCAGGCGACCCCACCTTCTCAGGATCAAGGCGAGCGTTGTAGCAAAGCTCACAAATCAGAGTGCTTGAGCAGTCTGCGCAATAATGAACGACAGAATCTCCCCACCAGGCAAAAACAGCCACGGGATTGCAGATGCCGCCGTCGCAACTGCACCCAACAATGTTTGGGTTGCCCAGATCTCCCTCGTCTCTCGGCGATGACCTCTTGCCGCTCCTGATAGTGGCCGAGGTTTCGTAGGGTGCCACTCCTTCAACCGTCCCAACCCGCTTGATAGATACTACTCCGTCGGACTCGGTGTCTTCAGTGTTCTCGTCATCGCTCTCATCGTCGCTTCCATCGCTAAACTGGTTTACCATCTCCAACAGCTTGAGCTCCTCATCTGTCGCATGTGTGATTTTAGAGAACATTGCTGATATCACGATTCGCGCATAGCGCTGGATATCTTGTCCATCCGGTACGGCTTTGCTCAGCACCATTAAGGCATGCGCCAGCTTTTCCAAATTTTGTCCGTCGTTCCACGATACCTTATCGGTGAGCCCAGCAAAGCAGTCATCCAGGACGCTTTGAAGTCGTTCCTGAAACTCACATGCCTGGCCCACCTTCAAGCACATTGACGCAAGAACAATGCGACGATAGACCAGGTCTAGATCCGTATAGATGGGCACAGATAAAGACAGTGGCCTATTCATCATGCCTTTGAGTGACTCAAGGGCTTCCAGCTTGACCTTGGGATCTCGCGAGCCCCGGAAAATCTCGTACAGAACGTCAGACATGACATCAACCAGTCGCTGCATCATTGTCTGTGGCTCCTCGTCAGTGATAGAATAAGGGTATCCGCTCGAGGTGCCGGCAAATATCTCATCCAGGGTCTTGCGAGCATTCTCCAAATCTCCCTTCGCTCTGAAATAGGCCACCGCCAACTCAAGGCGCAGCGGAGCACCAGAGTTGAGCCGATCAAGGAATTGGATAGCCTCCTTGTAGGCATCAATGAGAAAGTCGACTTCGCCCTCTCTAATTGCGAGAGAGCGAAGCTTGTCATGTCGCTCGTGTCCCTGATTACAATAGCTCCACGCCATCCAAGTAAGCCGATCAATAGCACTCCAGCTCTTCAGCGTCCGAAAATATCCACCATAATCAGCCACCTTCTCAAAAAGCTCGATTTCTCCCTCAAGGGCATCTCCGGAAGTTGTCCCTGTAGGATCAACTGCTTTTGCCTTGGCATAAGACTCAACCGCGGCGTCTCGCATCCTGAGCTTTCCCTCAAGCTCTGCCTTTGCCAAGAGAGTTGATCGCTTCAGTGAAGTAGGGACGTCGGCTGTCTCGATATGCTTGACACACTCCGATATAGTTTCGAACGCCCTATCCTTCTCCTGTAGCTTCCACAAGACTTTGGAGTATAAAATGGATGTCTTGAACTTCTCCGTATCGTTATTCCTGGAACCACAGAGCTCGAATGCTTTATTGCACATCGAATCAGCCGGCTTATAAAAGCCGTAGTTCAAGAAAAGCTCTCCCACCGCTCGATAAGCCGTTGCATCCATCTCGATTTCGCTGAAGATGTTCGGTAAGCCTAATGAACTCCTTTCTTCTCCGAGCTCTTCCATGGCTTGATTGTCAGCATCTTCGTTATCGTCCGGAAGTGTATCGGCATCTGTAGTCTCTGGCGCTGATGCCTCGTCCGGAAAGTTCTTTTTTGCGCTGTCAACAAGGAGATGGTCAAGCCCAGACTACAAGATGGTTGAGTTATTAATTCCATGGTTTGAAGAGAAAGAACCGGGTAGGAATGAAAGGTTCTCTAGGCCAAAACTTACAGTGCCTAAAAGCCCATAGATGAGCTTATACGCAGTCAGCGCCTCATCACGATTAGCCGCAGCATAGAGGCGCCGGACGTATCCCTTCACCATTCCATATCTGCACCTCCGGGAATCAACGGCAACATCCGCCCACCATGCAACCGCATCGGAGCTCAAGAGAGATGCAATCCCAGGGACCTTGAGAGACTCGGCCCAGACAGCCATCCTGCCATTCAGCACACTCTTGATGCTTCTATTATAGGTCATTCCGGTGCGACTGAGTGTTTCTGAGAAGTCAGTATGCGAAAGAGCCACGGCCAACCCTTCCATGACCTCTGCTTTCTCTTCAATCGTATAGTCCTCCCACACCAGTAGGGAGGAATGCGAGATCAGACGATAGGCAGCGTACAACCTCAGGCCGTCGTTGATTGTGTGGCCCGGTCCAAGAGGCTCTGGCTTGACAAGGTCAACACAGGCCAAGAGTATTTGACGATGTGCCTCCGAGGCCTTCAAATGCCACTTAGAGTTGCCGTTGGTGGCATCTCTGAAGAATGCCCGCATCGATCTCTCTTTGAACTTGACGGGTAGAGCACCATCGTTGTACATCTTATGCAGTTTCTCCCTTCTCGAGGTCCTCAATCGAGCCAGTAGAAGTGTCTCTATGGGCAATTTCTCTAGATTGAGCATCAAAGGCCGGGTCTCCAACCTGGAGAAACTTGGAGGCAACCTCGGGAATCTCTTCGAGATCAAAGCTGTCATCCTTGGAGAGATACACCAGTAGCGATGTTACTTCATCGAGAGTCAGAACGCGATATGCAAAGGCAATCCAATGGAGCAGCTTGGAGGCAATCTGCTGGTGAGCAACGGGCATTCGGCGCTGGCATTCGTCCAGCATAATTTCGTATACGCCATGCAATGTTTCAGGCATTGGACGCGCAAGCACCTGAAGAACAGCTCCCTCGCGCCCGAGCGAGTTGAGCCTATCCAGAGTGTGTTCAGCATACAGCAAGCCTAGTGGTTTCATATGTGGTCAGAATTTCCTCCTCATCCAAAGTGGGGGCCGGCGCTTGTAAACCTACTCGGCGATGCTTCTTCCACCTTTTCTGCAATTCTCTGCTGAACATAACGTGAGAACTTCTTCAGGTAGTTCATGTTGTTGATTCGATGCCACACGAGGGTCTTGAAGTCCTGCAGTTGCTTTTCCTTCGCAACTTCAATGGTGCGAACCTCGAACTTTTCGGTTAGTTGTTGGAGAAGATCGGGGCGAGTCGTGACGACAATCGTCATTCGAAACTTTCTTTCTCTGACAAGCTTAACGAACTCGAGAAATTCAGAAAAGTCAGACATCTCATCCAAGCCGTCAAAAAGGAGGAAAAGATGGTTTGTAGAGTCCTTGCTGAACGCTGGACCGAGTATCTTGAGCAGCAAGTCTCTCCAAACATCAACGTTATACGCAACCTCGTCGCGGACCATCTCTGCGTTGATCCTCTCGCAAAGAGGCACGCTCTGGTCCACCACCTGAGTAATAGTACTGATCAAACCGCTCTTGAACCAGCCAAGGTCTCTACGCTGCTCTCGGTAGTAGAACTGGGTTGCACAGGTACGCTGGGCTGCGTCCTCTCGCGCGATGCTGTAGAGTCTGTCGTATACCGATGCCGCAAGATGGCTTTTGCCAGTCCCAGGCAGTCCCGATAGGGCAAGGATTGGCTTGAGCACAGTGGTGTCTCCGTCTTGCTTGATCCATGCCTCCCACCCAGGCTCAGAAAAGACCCAAGTGCAGGTGTCCGGGATTAGCGTCTCCTTCAGGACCTTATACTCATGGCCCTCTCCCTCAATATCTGGCATCCTGTTTCGAACTTGGTTTGCAGAAGCTGGCTTTCCCGCGTCTTGATTGGATGGCTTCCCTTTGTGGTCATGCTTTGCGTTCTGTTCTGTAAACGCCTTGAGCAGCTTGGCAACATCGCTGCGAATACTCCCAGTATCTTGGCTGATATTGAACATAATCACCTTCTGCTCCTCCAGCATCTGTCTGTGTGTAATCTGGTTGATTTGCAGCTCAGCACTCATTTTCTTGAGTTCCTCACTGTTACCGTGGATGGCAAACTCTGTGGCATTTTGTAGCCGGGCGAGATTTTTATCCATCGTCTTCCGAGCACCACCCAAGTCGCTATCTTCACCCTCAATCAGGTTGGTGATCCATTTCTCTGCAGGTCATGTGAGTACCCTAGCATTCTAATTTGAAAGCCCAAGAATCCTTCGGAATGCTTACTGAAACGGCCAAGTTCTATATACTTGTGTGCATAGCCAGTCAATGTCAGAAAAGACGTAAAGACGTCCATGAGACAGTTCTGGTAAGCCTTGTGTGATGGCAGGCGAGCCTTCAAGATGACTATGCGCTGCAGAAAGCTATTCATATCGTCGAAGAAGACGACAACGACGTCATAATCTGCCGACACTTGTCTGCAAGCCTATAGCGAGATGCATATCATCGTCAGTTTTGGGACTTCTACCGGATCTAGAGCCATTCTCAAAAAGAGGCATTACCGAAAGAAGATATGTGATTGCGGTGCCAATCGCAGCCGCTGGAGGGAATGCAGGAACAGCCGCGCTGATGAGTTGCTGAGCCCCCTTCTCGATATAGTCAATATTAGCCGCGAAAAGGCTGCGCAGCTTGTCCACTTTCTTGCTGTTGTGTCGAAACTTGTGGAATGAGTTCATCTCATTGGTTCCGAAGTCGATCATGTCTTGGACACTGTTGAATTTGGGCTGCAGGTCAAACCCCACAATGCCCCTGTACTGCTTGAGAGCCTGCTTCCAGAGGTCGGCAACATCGCGATCATCATTCTCCAAGTCTTCTGGCACTGCTTTCTTCTCCCCTCCATTAGCTGCCATAGTGTCAAAGAGGGTCTGAGAGTATCAGGTGGAAGATAAAGCACGACTTTGCCAATTATAAGATGCGTAAGTTTGGTCCTTCTTCGTAGAAACAACCATGGAGCAGCTAGATACTAAGGCAATAGACTCTCGGTGGGGCTTCATCTTGTCTTTAAAGCATTTGGAGCAAGCTCTTCGCATTGGCAATAGTATTTTCGGGTCCTTTGTGCAGCAAGAGTTCTTCTCAGCCCTATGGTCAACTCCACAACACAACACAAAAGGTGCAATTGAGTGAGCCTATCATGTCCATTGGCGACCTCCCCTGTGCGTGGTGCCCGCATGATTCCCGGCTGATGATCCAGCTTCGCAGCCCCTGTACGTTTAGTGTGCAGGCAACAGGGACGATATAGTAATCCTTCGGGCCGTCAGCCTGCGTAGTTGTAGGAGTTCCGCCCACTGAGATGTAATGAAGAGCTCTGGATATATGGAAGAGCCCTGAACATAAAGTGAGGCAGCAGCTTATGCTACTCTTGAATGGCATCCAATGTCCAAAGCGTCCTGAACTTGGTAGCCGCGAGAAAGATGAAGGAGCTGTTACGGAAATGTACCGGCAAGCTCGACAGTTCTCGTGCTCGCCGACTTCAAAGCTAGAGTAACGGAGATCACGAACCCCGCAGCAAGCAGATTATTAAACAAGATACTCCGCATTGCACCCCAAATGCACGACAAGGCGCCCTTGGCGCCGTCCGCTTTCCACCTCCCGTGTAGTAGTGAGGTACCGTCCGTATTGCCAGTATTCTTACATCCCAAATTCGGCTATCATTGGGTCGACAGACACTCCAGGGCGGAGATGCCGAAGCGGAGTCACACGGTGGAGCGTTTGTGAGATGAAGACGATCCCAATGCGGCTCAAATATTCGGTGCCGCAAATTGTCCACCAGTCGGTCGATTCGTGTGAGAAGGCAGCATAAACGAACATGGGATACTGAAGGATCATATATGGCGCAATCCCCAGTGAAGGCTTCTAATGCAACGTCAAGGAAGACGCCTGAAGCTTTGTTGTCAAAACAGAAGTCAACTGGTTGCGGAGGGTGGCACTTGATGCATGGGGCTGAAACGGTTAGGATCAAGTTTAGTTCTTACGCCCCGAAACCTGAAGCCTCCTTGAATCCTACTGCATGACAATATCGCAAGACAAACGTTCCTATCGCAAGCCGAGCTGCCTATGCTCGCGATAGTCTCGCATTGGTCCAACCAGGCCATGAGGCCTAGTGTGACGTCTGCTTGACCAAACTTCTGGTCGATTCTTCGCACATGTCGGCTTTTTGAAGCAATGCGCTGGTTCACAGTTGACGGGCCCTTTTCTCTGTCATCCAACAAATTGTCTTCACAGCAGAAGCTGCGCGAGTCGCGAACCAGAGAAACGCGGTACCCTAGCCATATCAGAGGCTACATTCATATTTAAAGAGAACAATATGGAGTTGGTACGGTATCATTATGCACGCAGATTCTTGTCCGCACCTACACTTATGTCCGCATGCTCCATTCGTCAGTATCATCGTATCGCCCGATCGCCTCTGGAAGCATGCATCTTGGCAATTCTATTTGTGGACAGAATTTCCTGATATAGATGAAAAGAGGCCGGACTCTCTGTAAAAACATCAGCTCTAGTCAGGGATGGAAGCGGCAGGGATGAACCTGATGAATGAAGCGACGAATATTGAGCGGGTGAGCTGAGCAGTCCAGATGATAAGACTACAAGGGCAATTACTATAACGGAATATACTACTGAATGCAAAGGCTAAGGAATCATCTTGGCAGCCTTCATCAAGCCAAAGGCCTCTTCGTAATTTTTCAGCACATTCGAACGACTCTCGAACCCTGCAGCCCTTGCCTTGGTCAAATCATAGTGTCTGTCGAACACCGGCAACGACGTAAGCACCTCCATGAACTCCCAGCTCGTCCTCTGAATGATACCCGGCATCAAGTCATGATGGGTCTCGAAGCTCTCCCATTCCTCGCGATGTTGCGCCATGTACGCCGCCACACTAAAGCCGGCCGTTTTCTCTGGGGGAACGCCTGCAAGGCCAAACATGCCGCAAATCGACGCCCATTTCTCAGCCCAATTGTTCCCTGTAGTAACCGGAGAATCTCCCACGTTGTAAATCTCGCCATTTGGTGCTCTTTTCAGACCAGAAGCAAATATGTGTGCTCTAGCCAATGTTGTTTGTCCAATCTCAGTATAATGGCTGTTGTACGCAGCTGGAGGACCAGGATATGGAACGGTCTTCTTCTTCCCGGAAGAGTCTTCTTCGCGATATGCATAGAAGCTAAGGAAAATGCCGAGAGCCTGAGCATAGTTCATTGCGTTGCCGCCACCGGGTACGAAGCCGATCTACCGTTTATTCATCAGTCAAACGCCGGGATCATCAATTCCAGCAGCGAGGTTATTACCACTAAGTCTGGGCGGATCTCAGCGAAGCGCCAATTCTTCTCAGCGGAGAGCCTCTTGAGAGCATCGTACTGAGAATAGTAGAAGACTTGATCTTGGTATGGTTGTGGAATACGCGGGTCTGTTTCCTTGGCGGGCACTTTTGGAAATCCCAGCTGCGGAACATGCACAAACCCGTACGACTATATATCAGGAATCAGTAGAGAACAGCCCAATGGTAATGAGTGCAGACTACCTTGCCGCCTGTCTGAAGAGTCCAGAATCGCAAATTCGCACTGACTCGCTCGACTGCTTGGACAGCTGTTTCGAGTATGCGGACGTTGACCTCTTTAAGAATGTCAAAACCTGCAAAGTCAGAAGCACCAGCCGGTTGAACGTATGCTGCGAAAGGGTTATTCTCGACTCTCTTTCAAGGTTACGCTCACAGAAAGCTATCGAGTCGTACCAGCAAAGTATACGTCTGTGACATCCTTGATACCGTCAACATCGGCCAACCTGGCTACGACATCGTCCACGCTCGCGGTGAGGTCCACTCCGTGAGCCAGCGTAAGGCGGCTATCCTCAGGCAGGAAGGACTTCGCTCGATCCAGTGGTCGGTTTGTGAGTCCAATGACGCGACTAAATGTGGTGGACGTTGGATATGTGAGGGCTTCCCGCACAATGGCCCATCCAGTGATGCCAGAAGCTCCAACCACTAGAGCGGTGCGGTCTCCAATGGCCGAGGCGACGGGAGACATTATACTTATCGGCGTTGGTTCTAGGATGGATGTTGAGTATCAGTCTCGTTCTTGGCACGATGCTAGTCATTGAAGAGTCCAATTGCACACATATATATACCCAACTTTCCTAGACCATACAAATGCGGCCATCGAACAACACCCCTATTATCGACCTACATCAGCGTGTCCATTCACGTGCAAACGGGAATCAAGGTCAGTCCGCAAGTCTATTCGGGCGGACTTTGCAGAATGGCAGAAATGAAGTTGATGGAATCCCCAGTCATGTCGAAGACGCCCAGTCTTGACTAAAGCCTCCTCGGATTACGACGGAAAGCCACCCCCTTGGTCGCGAAAGCTTATTCAGCGGAGCGAAAGCGAGCCTCGAAGCCGCAAAGTGCAAAATGACTAATAGTGTCATCTCTACTTTTATATCTGGCGCGTGAACAAGTGGGTGCAATCCAGGGCCTAGGCTGATCGAGCTGGCATCAGACGTCGTTCTAGTACCTAGTAGTAGTAGTACTCTGTAGTACTATCACGTTTTCTCCGCGGCTCCGCCAGAAGTCTTAGAAGCCGTGAGGGACTGCAAGATCCGCTCGCCATACTCCGCATGCTGCTGTCTGCATACAGTAGTGGCTCAAAGTGTTGCCAACCTCTTTCCTTGTGTTCGTTGCAGAAATCGAAGTGCCTCATTTGTCATGTGCCTTTGAGTTGCTCGCCTCTTCCACGGTTGCAATAAAAGATAAAGCGATGAATGCGGTTGCTTTTTGGCTCAAACTTTTAAGCTCCTCTCACTCTATCTAGCATGTATTTGTCCTACTGAATTAATTATTAATTCTCAGCATCTTGGAAGAGGTGAATGAGCCACCTTGACCACATCATTGAATGCTGCTGCACATCACAGATCGAGAAAACATGAAACTTCAATCTCCATTCTTCCGCTAACCCTGAATGGCAATTTTACCCTTATGTAATCAGCTTCCGGCCTCTCATATGCGGAGGGCGTCGGCCCGAGACACCCAGACCCGCCCCGTCAGAGCGCAGGTATAAAATTTCGTCTCGCGGCCGACCTTTTCAGATTTTCTTTTCTTCTTTTCTTCTTTACGTCGACAATACTTCAGTATGTGCACCCCCAACTGCTCCTTTCCCACCACGGGAGTCAGTCTGCTAACACACCCGCCAACAGGAGAATCATTTCTATAGTATTTGTCTCTCGCTTTGGTTCCCAAAAGAGCCATCGAATCCACCCTGGTTGATGATTGCATATCCTCGGCATCCAAGAGTGAATACTTTCCTGGTCCTCTCGCACCGTCCGCAAGGATGGCGGCAGAAGCCTTGTGCATCTGCTGTATAGAGAGTTGTTTTTCTCTTGATGATCTCGACCCTGTCGATGGCTGCCTTCGGGCCCGTTGATGGGGTGGATGTCGATGGACGTCTGACAGGCTGCTTTCACTTTCTTTTCATTGCAGATTCAAGGCTTGCCTTGGACGCGAAGAAGAGTTCGATTACCTTTCTGAAAATTCCGTCTTCATCTTCCATCCACATACATAGCTTAGTAGATTAACCTTGACTGCTGGGCTCCGCGCGCTGTTGTTTGCTACTCTGATCTAAGCTTGGCCTCCCTCCAATAGCTCTCGCGTTTAAGATTGCGAAGCCCTTTACCGAACCATATAACTGGCAAAAAGGTAGCGCAGACGGCCAGAGCAACGAAAGCCACGCTGATGAAGCAGTTCTGCAGTCCCAGGCCGTCCAGCCAAGGCGTGATGCCATAGTTGATGGCAAAGCTCATCGTGTTGCGAATAATGATGCACGACGCCAGGCCATCTGCTGATACCTCTCGATATGAATCAACGAGGTATGCAATCGACAACGTGATGCCAGCTGTGCTGCAGGCCGCAAGAACGCACATAGCCACAATGAGGCCGAACCAATGGACATGATGAGCCGCCTTTTTCTTGAGTCAGCGGTTTCTTTGTTAAGCGATGAGGAATTGGCAGCTTACCCCGACGCCCCAGAGGATCTGGCAAGCCGGCACAAGTATTGTTGTCAATGCAAAGAGCCAAAGGCGCTGCTCAGGCTCGAATATGCCGCGATTGCGTCGCGCAAGCTTGATGATGAACCAGTCGGAGATGATGCCGCTGTAAGCAGATCTGTGAAATAGGTGCCGTCAGTCCATATTGTTTATCCAGCTGAGCTTGGAAGAGGCCCGGTTCCTACCCAAGAACGACACCCACGACACAAGCCAGATAGCTCAGGCCAACGATACTCGGCTTAAAGTTGTATGGCGCACCGCCGAGAACGATGGACGAAGTTGCGTTTAGTATATTGAACCAGATGAGATACGTGCCGTACGAGAAGCCCGAGTAGAAGACGACAGGCCACGCGATCAGCCTGAGGATCTGCCAGGCGCGTCTGTGCATCAGAAACGGCCGCGGCTTGTCAAGCAAAGAAAGTTTCTGCAAATAGCTCTTTTCTTCGCCCTGGAGCATGACAGTGTTGTCGTTATCTGTGGGAAGAGCCGCTGCACCATGGCTCTCATTGCCAGCAGCTGCCCCCGATGACGAAGATGATGACACTGTCTTTTCACCTGGACTTTCAAGAACTTCAGCGGCGGGAATAATCCCTACCAATGGGCGATCATAATTGGTCTCCTCAAGGAAAAAGAAGAGAAACACAAAGCAGGCCGCGCTGAATATAGCCATGAAGTAAAAAGGCCATTTGTAACCCATGCTATCATTAATGAAGCCGCAGATGACGGGTGCGAAGTAATTCGAAGTAGCCAGAATCCACGCATACCATCCCATGTAGGTGCCTCGCTCATGGGCAAAATAAATGTCAGTGATGGATGTTTCTGGCAAGGCTTCGATTGGTGCGGCGACGAAACCGGCAACGATGTTGCGGGCGATCCATTGGCCATGGCCTTGAGCGAATGGGCTCCAGACGGAGACGGCCTACGGAATGATCAGCATATATGGCAGGAGGTCAAGTATTCATCACTTACCACGATGCCTAGCATAGAGAGCAAGTATGTCAGCCGTTTGCCATACTGGAGAGCAAATGGCTGCCAGAAGAGCAGGCCCCAGCCGCATAGCAAGAACATGTAGCCCGTTCCTTCATTGAGGTCGCCGACTGCGCTCGAAAAAAGGTTGTTAGCAAATTACCTATTGGATGTTCATCTGGGCACTGTTGGAATTGGTACCCTACCGCTAACATGTAGAGCTGTGGACAGCGGCACTAATAGTGAATACACAACGGATAAGGCCATGCCATTGAACAACGTGTAGCTGAAGTACAATAATCACGGAATCAGTTAGCAGGCTCAATTGCCAGCTCAAGATGGCAAACTCACGCAATCAGGCAGATGAGATGCTGACGCTTTCGCCGGGGCGACCAGTTCAAAGGGTCATTGACATCTGTTGACGGTGTCGGGATGAGGATGATGTCGTCCTGACTCGAGGCATGGCATGTTTCGGTGTTGTGGTTGACGTCTACGAGGAGGACTGTTCCGGGGACCTCAGACTCGTCGACATGGGGTACCTGGCTCTGCATGGTGACTGTCGATGCACTTCACCTAAAGCTGTCCTTGAATAAGCAACAATCCTGAGGCTGTGGCATATCATTCACTGAATGATAAAGAAGCAAAAGCAGGCGCAGATCAAAATGCTTGCAGAGGTGGGAGATATGCGACGCGTTTTATCCCAGCCATATCTTGCCGGCTTGTGCAATGGGCATTCGTCTGAGACAATTCGGATTGGACAGTCGGATCGGCGTTACATCGACGTCACAAGACCAGAAGTACATGTTCTGCTAAGGCAGAATGAGCAGTTGAATAACACAAGGGAGTCGTTTGCCGAGACGCCGATCTCCTTTCCAGAGTTGGGTTAAGCCTGGGGTAGCTCTTTGGGTGGGTAAATGTACTCCTGCGTCGGTGAACTGTGGGCCAGGCATTGATAAGTAAAACACGTCGTCAGTTTGGCGATACTCTTGCTCTCTGCCTCGTGGCTTATCATTTACATACGGGCTGACCCCGACAGTGAATAGATATCCAGAGAGATATGTGCAGAGATAAGAAGTGGAAATACTGGAGTGACCAGGTATGAAGTTTGTGTCTCCACTGCCTGCCGCTATGCTGATCAATTTTCGTGGATGGTTCTTATCTCACAACTCCTCTAACGAGCAAGCAAAGAGTCCCATAAAACTTATCATGAACTGCCGATACGGAGTACATGATCTCCATTCCTCCAAAATCCGTTTCTTAACCATGTCTCCCAGCGACTTTCTTTTCGCAGCGTTATCGGATTCTCAATGTAGTGTCCTACACTGGTCTAGGATAACCTACAATACAAGTGTGAGAACATATGTGGCTTATGACTCCGACTCCTGCTTGCTGTGCAGCATCTCTACCTACCTATATGTCATCAGAGACTCTACTCACCAGAAGCATTCTAGCTCACATTATCTAGTCGTCTGTTATTGCCATGGCCTGACAACACGTTCCTTCCCGCCCGTTCGGACGCTTTCCTCACGTTCATTCCGCTCTTACTGTATCCCCCACCCCACGCTCAGTACGACTACTCCATGCCGAACGTCTACAGAATTAAGAAGCTTTGTCTTCTCCTTCAAGCTCCTACGAGGCACTTGTGACGCGTCTTTTTTGATCAGCTGAATCAACGTCAATCGCCTCTTCCTATCGTCCTCTCGCCAAATAATAGACCAATTTCAACGGCACCATCCGGTGCATCTCGGCAAGCTCCGGCGCTCCGCCTGTGGGGGATCGCAATAAGGCGGGGCATCTGGGGGGCCGTTTGGGTCGGAATTGGGAGCATGTCATCATCCTGTCTCTCGCGCCGTCTTTAACCTGAGAACATACATCTTCATTCAAACAATTGCTCCATCCAAACGACCTTTTCAAATTGTTCAAGCTTTTGAACCACGAAAATATGGCGGCCACGCTTGAGTCCGACATCCAATATCTCAAAAGCCTTCGGGCCGTCCGAGAGCGCTCGCGAATCGTGCTTGAAGCGGCCCGAAACGGGGGCCTCAACAACTTTGAGCTTGATGAACCGCGGATGAAAGAGACGGCCGAGTTTGTTGCAGGCGTCATTTCAGTAAGTGTGACTACCATTAGAAGCATATGAACTTCTTTGCTCATATGCGCGTGAACCACAGCGTGACTTTGGCCCCGACCGATATGCAGAGATTCCGCCCCATGGACGGTGGGAGCATTTCAGCATCGGCGGCATCCCGCGGCTGGAGAACCTGGTGCAGAAGTGGCAGGACAGCGAGGTATCCAATATGGAGATTACTCGACGCCTGATAGACCTCTTCTTTGTGTCCGTGCTGCTTGACGCTGGTGCGGGCGACACCTGGGCGTTCCGCGAACCCGGAGGCGACACGGCGTATGGCCGCAGTGAAGGCATCGCGGTGGCCTCGCTGTACATGTTCAACGACGGAGCGTTCAGTTCATCTACAGACGACAATAATGCCACGGTGGATGGTGCATATATACTACTTTCCAACCTTCTGATCTATATTCCGCCAGACAGCTAACGGCCCTTGTTTCGCAGGACATGCCCTTAGCAATCTGACCGAAGATACGTTTATCCACCACTTTCAGGTCGGCCCTCAGAATCCAATTGTCGGCGCTGCGTCCAGAATCGAGCTGCTCAACAGCTTTGGAAAATCTCTGCTCTCGCTTCCAGAGATATTCGGGGCAAAGGGTCGGCCAGGGCTGCTTGTTGGCGAGTCTTATCTGTTGATGCTATACTGAGTTCATGTTGTTAATTCTCCGTCGCAGACCACTTGATAGCGATGACTAGCAAAGATGACGACCTAGATTATGAAGCTCTCTGGGATATCCTGCAGAAGCTGCTTCTCCCTGCATGGCCGTCCAACCGCCCGCGGATCAACGGTCAGCCTATTGGAGACGCATGGCCTCTCCGCGTGCTACAGGAAAAGTCCGGCAACAGCGAGAATCCAACGGCGGGCATTCATCCGTTCCACAAGCTTACCCAATGGCTTGGATATTCCCTCACCGTGCCATTCATGAAGGTACTCAAGCGGAAATGGACCAACATCGAAAAGGGAACCGGGTTGCCTGAGTACCGCAATGGAGGCCTTTTCGTCGACATGGGCGTCCTGAAACTGAAGCCAGAGGTTCTTGCCAAGGGACTTGAGGCTTCAAATCAGGCGCTGCCGCTCTTCTCGTCCACCGGGGACGTGATTGTGGAATGGCGGGCGATGACGGTTGCTCTCTTGGATGAGCTGCATAAGCTCATCAATGATCTCTTGGCGCCGCAGGGAGTGTCCCTCTCGTTGCCGCAGCTGCTGGAGGCTGGATCGTGGAAGAGCGGCAGAGAGCTGGCGGCCAAGCATCGGCCGGAGACTCGGTCGAGCCCGATACTGATTGACGGCGATGGCACTCTGTTTTAGATTAGCCCTGCTTACATGTATGAGAGCGCATACCGGTATTCATAATTAATGATGCTGCTGCCATGAACTTGAGTAGTCTTTTGTTCAGTAAATCACTGCGCTCTTCACCGTGTCTTGCCCCTCCCCATTGATGACTTGTGACACATGCTGGCTTGAGCTCCCAAGCCGCCAGTCATACCCCATTTATGCCTCAGTAATAGATACTCCGTACTCCGTATGACCAGCATGATAAGGAAGCAAGACGATCTGACATAGACCAGTAACGGAAAATGAACCCTGGATGTGCGGGGTCCATCGTCGTGCATCGCATATGATTTGATGCGAAAATACCCTTACCTATGTGCATGCATTGAGTAAGACGTATCGACAGCCCGATAATTTAATACAGCTGGAATCCTCGGGAAAACAACTTGACTCCATCACAAACAAAGACACACGACACGCTCACTCGCCATCAAAGAGGGAAGGGGACACAATGAGCCAAGACCTTACCCTCCCCCGGATTCTCTGCCTCCACGGCGCTGGTGTCAATGCCCAAATCTTCCGTATCCAATGCCGCGCCATCATGGCCCGGCTCAAGGACAAGTTTCGCTTCGTCTTCGCCGAGGGCCAGCTGGAGGACGAGGCGCACGAGGCCGTCGTGACAATCTTTGCCGAGTTTGCGCCGTTCAAGCGCTGGCTGGCTTACAGGGACAAGCACGAGCCCATGGACCCGACGGAAACGGCGCAGGGAATCGTGAGGCAGATCCGCGACGCGATGGACAAGGACGAGGGCACGGGAGAGTGGGCAGGGCTGCTGGGGTTTTCGCAGGGCGGCGTCATCGCGGCGAGCCTTCTCTGGGCGCAGGACCACATCGAGGACGAGTCCAAGTGGCCGCTGCCCGGCGTCAAATTCCGTTTTGCCGTCATCATGGCCGCTCCCGGGCCCGTCGTGCACATTGACCGCACCGGCACGCTGCCCACGCCGCGACATCTGGCCAGTGCAGGCGACCTTATCCCCAGGTTCACGGACTGGCCTCAGGAGGGCCAGGAGGACGAGACGCACCTGGTGCTGACGCCGACGCTGCACGTCCACGGGCTGCAGGATGCGGCGCTGGAGGCCCACCGGAAGCTTTACAAGTACAGCAAGAAGGGGACGTCGACGCTGCTGGAGTGGGATGGAGGACACAGGCTGCCGATCAAGACGGATGACGTGGAGAAGCTGACGAACAGGATGCTGCAGCTGGCGGAGCGGACGGGCATGGAGTTTTACTACGACGATGACTGGTGATTCCTGGCATTGGAGATGTCCATGTGAAGCGAGCATGAGTTGACAGATATAGATGGACAGAATGGCGTATTGGACGGAATAAAAGGGGGTCACCGGGCACTTGATTGGAGACACCAGAGTCATTAGAGAAAGGAGAGACGGATAGATCGAGAGAAAAAGTGGCTTCTTCTCCTATTGCTTCCATCCACTGAAGGTTTACTACGAACAAATCCATGCATTTTGCACGATCTGTCCTTGTTCCTCCTGACATGCGTCATGCATCATGCAGGCAAGACTCCTCTGCAGCTACCCTGCCAGCTTGCCAGCGACTCAGAATTTCATACTAGATATTCAATCAGCAGCAATTCACAGCTATACTCACAGCAAATAGTCATCATCTTTCAAGAAGATGAACATCATGATAGCAAAACTTGAATCGACGGCAAAGAATCACCAGCTTAGTCATCTCGTCTGGTCCAGGCTTCCCCGCTGAAGCTCGCATCATGACGCTGTCAATCTCCCCGCAATCAGATAGCAGCATCTCAACACTTCACGATCAACTTCTCTTTCACTTAAGATATAAGACAGCATCCGCAGCCTTGGAACAATGTCGAACTCCGAGAATCAGCAGAATCAAGCTCCGGGAGAGCAATATTTCCCTCCTCCGCCTCCCGGTCCCCCTCCTGTGTCTACTCAACAGCAGCAGCCATATCCCCAATTCCCTCCACCTCCACAACAGCCTGAATCGCAGTCTCACCAGGCTCAAGCTCAATACCAACAGACTGAGAATCAGCAACAGCAACAGCAGCAGCATCAGCATCACGAACAGGCGCAGCCTCAACAGACGAGCCAGCAACAGCACTTCCCGCCTCCTCCTCCCGGCCCTCCTCCGACTCAGCTACAGCAACCTCAATATCAGCCTCAGTATCAGCCGCCATCGCAGCAGCAACAGCCTCCCCAATCACAGCCCCCTCTCCAGAACTCAAACTATGCCATCCCCGCATACGATCCTGCGAATCCCGTCTTTGCGCCACCGCCCTCAAACACCCTCAATGAGCCTGCTAGTCCCTCGGCATATCATCAGCCTCCAGTTGAAGGCCAGCAACAACAGTACCAACAGCAGCCGTACCAGCAAGCACCTCCATCTCCACAGCACCAAACAGCTGGCGAGCAACAGGGGCATCAAAAGCTCGGCTGGGGCGAGCGACTCTCTGCCCTCGGCATGAAGGCCGCGGCGCCCATCAACAGCATCGCGCACAAGTTAGGCAGCCAAAGCTTTCTCCCGGAGACGCTGGACAAGGAGTGCGACAAGGCTGCGACAATACTCAAGGCATTCTGCAGTAAGTGTGAAATCCCGCAATGTTCAGCCAGTTAGCTAATTCTCCCCTAGAGAAGGGAGTCTATGCCGACCCTGCGGCCACTTCGGTGCCCACCTCGACCGATCCCAACGCAGTCGAATCGACCGACAGAGTCATTGACCCGACAAAGGAGAAACCCAAGAATCGCGTCATCGTCACGATTCCCCCCAAGGTCATCGCCAAAGCCGTTGGCCTTGCCATATTCACCACGCTCCGTGCCGGTTTCCAGGTGTCTGGTGCTACAGGCTCAGGAATCCTGATTGCGCGTCTCCCGGACGGCACCTGGAGTCCTCCCTCTGGCATCCAGCTGCACTCCGTCGGCGGCGGATTCCAGATCGGCCTTGATATCTACGACTGCGTCTGCGTCATCAACAGCAAGGAGGCTCTTGCGGCCTTCACCAACACGCGCGTCAGTCTAGGCAGCGATCTGGCCGTCGTGGCTGGTCCGTATGGTGCTGGTGCCGCCGTTGAGTTTGGTGCGCCCTTGGAGATGAAAGGGAAGCAAGGGAAGCAAGAAGGGCCCGAGGATCAACAACAGCAATCGCAGCAGAAGCTCCAGCCAGCAGACAACAGCAAGCAGAGCCACAGGCGAAGTCTCAGCGCCAGCGCAACCAAGCCCGTCTTCTCATATGTCAAGTCGCGAGGCTTCTACGCCGGCATCCGTATCGATGGCACCGTCGTTGCTGAGCGCAAAGAAGCAAACGCTGCCTTTTACGGCCAGGCTGTCTCCGTAGACCAGATTCTCAAGGGTCAAGTGCCGCCTCAAGGACCCCCCGGAATGTGGCCGGCTGGAGCTCAAACACTGTACAGCGTTCTCAAGGGGGCCGAGGCCGGTGCTTTGCAAGCATCTTCCGGTAACAGCAGTCCAGGGCACCACCAACAACAGACCGCGCAAGGCTACGACTATTCTCAACCAGGCCAAGGTCAGCAGCAGATGTCCCTTCCCTCGTACGCGGAGAGTGGACCACGTCCAATTGATGGCGACATCAAGTACGCCTGAAGAATGATGATAACAACGAACGAACCAACATGAAGTTATGATGGAATGATGACAAATACCAGCTAGTAGTATATTTCGATTCCCCAGGGCTTTGACCGAGCTGCCGCATCCATCTCGCAATGTGATGACTTACCATCCATCTCTGTAGACGTCCTGCGTCCTTCTGTGTATCGGTAAGAGGCGGTGCGCCACGGCGTCCCTCGAGGTTTTCTCTGCCGCCCCATAGCAGCGCCGTCATTGACCTGTGATCCTTCGTCTCTTGACCCACCGTCCCATCTCCTCGCCTGATATGGTGGGCAAGACCGACAACACTTTGTTTGCCCGATCTCCATTGAGATCTCATGACTGCTGCCTTGTTGCATCGTGTAATTTGGCGTGGTTACTGCTGCGTTTACCGATGTTGCCCCTTCCCTTCTCCGTCAAACACATGACCGTCTCATATCTTACACGATGTTGCACGAATTACAAAGTACCATCATGTCAAAGCTGTTCTGGGTCAGTTGTGTCTCAGCCTCCCTGCGAATATCTGGGGCCCGCACCTCAGCAGATCGGCTTCCTGTCTGCCAGCCCAACAGAGCTATCAGGATGAATGGAGCTGTTGAGCACTGCAGGAGATTGCCAGAACAATCTCCTATCCTCAGCTAGAGCCTAGAGCAGTTGTAGCTTCCAAGGTACCTCAGGCGCGGGATCAGCGGGAACTAGAAGTTACGGGCTAGCGCAGCTGAAGCTGGTACGACATCTCCAGTTCGAGAGTGAAATAGTCATAGATTGTCAGTGAGCAATTCAGCCAGTATTCAGAAGAATCATACCACGACCCATTGCTGTGTTACCCATTGACGCTTTGGGTGCAGTCGAACTTGGACTAATGTTCGGCCGCTTCATAAGGTCCTGCGTGTTTGCTGCGTTGACAGGCAGATCATCAGGGCGGAGACTTCGTGTCACGACCAATGACACAGCTTTATACCATAAGCTTCGGCTCTTCCGCATGGCAAACTTTGTTTGCTTCAACAGTGCCAGCTGAGCTGACCGCTAACTCTCTTAGTTTTTGTCATATATCTCGTTTCCAGTGACTCATCGTGAGTCGTTTGTGCAGCCATCCATGGCAGTCTTGACTCCCAAGCTCGGCATCTCAGCCGAGTAGATGCCATCCATATCGTGCTCTTCGCATCCTTATCACGCTTCAAGCAACGGGAAACAACAACCCTAAGACCGGTACTACCAAAGACCGTCCCATCACATCCCTCTTAGCCGAGAAGAAGTCCAAGAAGTCGACCAATCCGGGGGCCCAAGCTCAAACTCTTGTAGCCGCAGACACAACCAACCCCGTTGTCATATCCCTCCAATGCGCCACATCCGGTTGCCGTCGAGGTCAAAGAAGTTGATCCCTGCACCAGGCGCCTCGTCGGCGAGGTATCTCTTTCAGCTATGTAGGTAAGATACAAAGACCGGTCCTTGATTGAGTTTGAGCCATGCAGCGGCTTTCCCGACTCTATGGTGGCTGGGGAGCTGAAGAGTACGAGGGCTTGCATTGATCCGATTGTGCAAGTCTGAGTATAGGGAGATGCGGAAACGGGAAAGAACTGTCACAGGACTTTCCGTGGTAGGTGATTCGGTTTGTTGTCATTGACAGGTCTTTATTGGGCAGGAATATATAGTAGTATTCGTGAAGAACGACCGGGTAGAAGCCACTCAATGACGCTCCTTTTCCTGTTCTCTTTGGTTCTCTCCTCTGTCAAGGCCAGGAAACTCTTTCATCTGCCCAAATAACCCAAATTCATCAAAGAATACACAAATTATCCAAGTTCAACATACGGTATTGCTTCAATATGGCTCGGATCCTCTCCTCCCGCGACAAAATCCGCAACGAGCTCATCGTCGTCTTCGGCGAGTTCTGCGGCACCTTCATGTTTCTGCTCATGGCCTTCATCGGTACGCAGGCGGCCATCGAAAACAACTCGCCCGGGAACCCCGATGCTCCTCTGTTCCCCTTTTCGCTCATGTACATTGCCGCTTCGTTTGGAACGGCAGTTGCGGTGAATGTATGGGTGTTTTATCGGATTACGGGTGGCATGTTTAACCCGGCTGTAAGTAAACACTTGTCTCTGTTGTTCGAGGCCGCTCTCCATCTTCCAGGTGACTGATGGAAGACAAAAAGGTCACGCTTGGCCTCGTCCTCGTTGGCGCTGTCTCGCCCCTCCGCGGCATCCTCATCTTCCCGACCCAGCTCGTCGCCGGCATCGCCGCAGCAGCTGTCACCGACGCCCTCCTCCCAGGCCCTCTCCTTGTCGCCAACAAGCTCTCTTCAGGAACGAGCATCTCCCGTGGCCTCTTCATCGAAATGTTCCTCACTGCACAGTTAGTCATTACGGTATACTTTCTCGCCGTGGAGAAGCATCGAGCCACCTTTCTGGCGCCTCTGGGCATAGGCCTGGCCGTTTTCATTGCTCACATTTGCGGCACGAACTACACTGGGACATCCATCAACCCCGCGCGCTCGTTTGGACCGGCGGTCGTTACTGATTTCACGGGATATCAGTGGATTTACTGGCTGGGTCCTTTTTTGGGCTCTTTTCTCGCTTTTGTCGTGTACACTATCCTCAAGTGGATGGAGTATCACACTGCCAATCCAGGCCAGGACGACGACGAAAATAAGGTCAAGAAGTCGCCTGCTGGCCTTGCCTTGCCGACGAATGACCGGCAGTACGGCAATGGCAGTGAGAATGCTAAGAATCACTCGCCGTCTGGGCCACGGGATAGTGGGATTGCGCATACGACTTCGGGGCCTCGGGGGTTTGCAGCTGTTTAGGGGGTTGGAAAACATAGCATGAAAGAGAAAGTTATGAGGGAAAAGGCCTATATATAAGGTGCTTTGATGAGGTATGGATAGGTATGAGTGTACACGATACAGACTGTAAGTCTATAAGTTTACTTATCGTATGAACTATCGCCGCGAAGCAACAAAAGTCGCTGTGTTCCTGGTATGGTTCCAAATCGTGTATTCTAGGTACGCAAAGAGTTCTGATTCACAGTATATATATCAAAAACTCCGTGTGTTTTGTAATCGTGGTGCCTCTCAAATAAAGTGATCCATCCATAACCCGTCGTCACTCTTCCTCCGTCTTCACTCTTGCTCTGCCAGTTCCTCAGGAAACCATCCATACACTTCTAAATCAACAGTATACTCTCCCATCGCATTCCTCACCACTTCCACACCTTCCCTCTGCAACTCGAGAGCTTGGTTTGCAGCACCTGAAGGCTGTGATCTAGACATTGCCAATTGTCAACACGATTGATCTCATCCACATAACATACCAGATCAAGTCCTGTGCTGCGCAGTATTCAACATCTTGGGCATGACGAGACTCACCTTGGCGACACCGCTCCTTTGGAATTAATTACTCTCTGCCACGGTACATTCGTGCTATTGAATCTTGCCTCCTCGTCATGCGGCAAATGCTTCATACAAACGCCAACTTGTCTCGGTCTCTGCGCTACAGTTTCTCGTCTCTCATCAGCGTAATTCTATGAAGAATCCTACCAAAGGCCAAAAGCAATTACGGATGATGATGCGAGGAAAAAGATATCCGTGATTGTGAGGTTTGCTAGTGAGGGTGAAGAAACGTACGTGTGCCGACGAGATACGCAATATGTGCATACGTCGTCACCTTTCCGTACGGTATCTGTTGAGCGGCGGAATACACTGCGTGGAAGAAAGCCTGCGCTTCGTCCGACCGGGCCATGCTTTATCCTCTGGAACTTGCGAAAGGGGCTAGACTCGTAATGAAACAAACAGTCGCTTTCGTAGTGACAATGGACAGAAAGTTGCCGGATGAAGAAGTGGTCAAGTTGGAGGCCGTGAATTAGCAGTTTGGTGATCCCGGTGGGGACTGTGAGCTGAAGGGAGTGGCAGCTATTAGGTAAGGTATGAAATAACGCCGTGAGGAAGAAAGACGCAAGGAGAGCCAAATGAGGCAGATATTCACATGTTTCCCACGGAGTCCTCCTTTATGCTGTTGTTGCAGTCGTCCCACCAGTGAAGGTTAAAGCACTGCACTCACGTCACAAGATGAATAGGGAGTGCAGCCAATAGGGCCTCCAACGGCCGTGGTTCTGGATAGCTCCTCTTGCTCTCTATGGCGTATAAGCAACACACCACGATTGTAGTCATGTTAATTATCAGCTTCACACCCAGGAAGACTTCATAAGCCGGTAGAAAAAAAAGGTGTGCATCAAAGCGATATTCACAAGTCGCCTCCCATCCAACGAAGCACCTGCTTGCTCCTTAAGAGCAAAAGGAAAATTGATTAGGAATCTTTTTCCCTAGGTAGGTAGAAATCCACAGCGGCAGAACATCACTCCACAACATTCCAAGCCGGACAATCACACAATGATAGCGAACAGGAAGGTAAATAAATCAGTGCCACGATGGGCGCATTTGCATTCGGCCACTCCGAAAACACAACATCCATCTACAGAGTACATACATATTTTACAAGTTTGCAAGTCCATTACATCAACTCCAAAGACTCATACCATGGCCATCGGCTCCCCCCAAATATACTTGCATCATCTGCAATGTTCAGAAAATGCCGAGATAATATATGGCCCTCCTCCTACAATGTACGCAGCAGGACTTCAGAAAACTGAAAAGCAAATAATAGTATGGGAAATAAGACAGAATAGAAGACAAACAGATAGAATAGAACAGACGCGCATCATGACATACCGACAGCCATCTAGCAAGTGCAGATAACGCTGTAGTTTGCTCGCTCCAGAACAAAAAGACTAACTTAACAAGTGTCGTTTCAAGAAGAGGGTTAAAAAATGTGTGAGAGGTCAAGAACTCCTGGCTGCGATGAATGAAGACAATAAAAGAAATCCAAACAAACAACACCAGGACGTATGATATCAATATACTTTCTTCTTCTCCAAGTCACAGAGGCATCAGACAGGAGAAGCATCATGACAGGTTGACGTAACGAGGTCTCATCGTAAACAAGAAGCATATAACAAGAAAAGAGATCCAAAGCGAACCGCAGCGGGAGGCAGTGAGTTTCCTGCGAGGCGCAAAGAGTTGGGGTATCGTCCTGCAGTTCCCACGCCCCCCCGTTTGCGTCCACCATGAAAGCGTCACGCTTAGAAGCAGTTCAGGCTGCCCTTCTTCTTCTTGTTCTTGCTGATGGCCTGCATCCTCTCTTCCAGCTGCTTGCGCGCAGCCTCTGCCGCCTGCCGCTTCTTCCGCTCCTCTTCGACCGCCTGCATGCTCCATCGGTTGTCCTGCGACTGGTCGACCGGTCGTTCCTTGAGCTCCTTCACCTCAGCTTCGAGCTCTTGAGCACGCTTCTTCCAAGCGTCGCAGTCTGCCTTGACCTTCTTGGACTGCTTCTCCAGATCGCTCAGCGCCTCTTCCAGTGTCTGCGTCAGCTGGCGCTCGGCGCTGAGGTGCTTCTCAATAGTACGGATGCGAGCATCTTGGTCCTCGGCAATCTGAGAAAGATTGAAATTGTCCTTGCTTGGGGGACGCGTCGATGTGGGAGAGCTGGGTCCACCATAAGGTAGAGGGGGGAGAGGAACGGAGGGAGGAGGCGATGGCAGAGAGTTGTGCGAAGAACTCTTGCGGATGGTTGAGTTGGAGTTGGATCGCTTGACATCGCCGTTCGCAAGTTCGTTGAACTTGATCTGATCGTCCGTCGTTAGTCGTGTTTAGCGATTGTGAGAGGGAAAAGGAACTTACCTGAAGAGCCGCATACTCTTCGCGTATGGTTTCCAGCTCGGATTGGAGCTTGATTCGTGAGGACAGCGCCTCGTCAAGCTGTGCGTTACGCTCGGACTGTAACGAGCTCAGGCGGTTGTTGGTGACCTGGACCTCATCAAAGTTGTGCTGCAGCTGCTCTTCGAGCTCCTCGATGAGACGGGAGTTCTTCTTGTTGCGGCCATCGAGGTCTTCCACCCTGGCCTTGACCGCGGCGAGCTGGTCCGTGAGGGAATTGGATTGGGCGTCTGCGTTGCCGGGAAGCATATTTGCAATCGCCGTCTTGACTCCCTCGAGATCCCGGACGAGTGAGTCGTTGATGTTCGAAAGCTCCGTCACATGAGTCGTGAGCTCGCCCACCTTCCGGTGCTCGGACTCGAATGCCTTTTGGCTGGCGACGAGAGACTCAATGCGCTCGCCTAGTTTCTCCAGGGGAATCTCTGCGCCAAAGGCGGCGGCGATCTGAGTCGCAACCCTCGTCAATTCATCCCTCGACTGAGCAAGCTCCGACTCCAGCTTCAAGATAGCCTCTGAATGCTCAGTCATGAGCACCTCCACCTGCTTCTCGTAGCTGGTCTGTTCGTGCTCCTTCAGGTCAGCAAGCTCCCGAGCGTGGGCCTGCTTGAGCGCCTCCATCTCTTCTTGGTGCGCCTTTGTGGCATCTTCGTGGCTAGCAATCAGCTCCTCCAGCTTGGCGGAGAGCTCCTGGTGGCGAGCGGTCGTCTCAGCCGTGACAGAGCTATGGATCTTGGACATGTCGTCCATTGCTGCTCGAGCAGAACGGTGGAGAGCTTCGAGCTCCGCCACTTTGGCGTTGTTGCTGCTAATGACGGCCTTGTACTCGTCAATCTCTCCACGCAAAAACTCAATGAGCTCCTGCTGCTTAATGATCTCCTTCCTGGCCTCATCGACGTCATTCTCAGCAGCTGCTCGAGATTCGGACTCGGCAAGCTGAGCATTAGCAGCCTCGAGCTGAGCTTCCAGTTGCTGGATGGTCGCTTGCATCTCCTTCTCAGTCGTTCGCATAGAGACCAGAGCAACGTGGTGCTTGTTCTCCCAACCCGCCAGTTCAGCCTGCAGCGTCGATACTCTCTCGTTGTATGGTACGGCAGCCTCCTCCTCCTCACTTGCCACAAGCTCTCTGGTAGGGGTAGATGCCACGGATTTCCGGAGAACCTCAACTTCGCTCGTCAACTCTCGCTCACGCACAGCATGCGCCTCGCGAAGGTCGAGCAGCTGCCTCTCGCTCTGCTCCAGCTGGCCTCGCAGGGCGGCAACCATGGACATGTCAACGGGAGAAGCTTTCAAGCTGGATCGCTCACGTGCAAGACCCGAGATGATGGCCATTTTGCTTTCCATCTCCTTCTTGGCAGCAGCAATGTCGGATTCCAGCTCTTGGATTCGTTCGCTTCGAGATTGAAGTTCATGCATGGCCGAGTTGAGGTTCAGTTCAAACGTCTGCATTGTCTCAGGCTTGCCTTCAAAGTACTCGGCGGCAAGGTTCCTCAGGGAGACGAAGGACCGCTGAGCGCGGTCGACACCAAGAAGATTCTGGCTTGACTTTCGGCGGATGACACGGGGGCCGGTGTCGACAGTTCGGGCTTTAGTGACTTCAGTCTTGAGCTCCTCAACCATGTCCAGGGCCTCGTTGTGCTTGAGCTCAAGCTGGGCATACTTCATGGCCAATTCTCTCTCAGCTTTTTCTTTTTCTTCAGCCAAGACTCTGAGTCTCTCGAGCTCCACGGCGAGCTGTTCATTTTGCTCGGTGTGGTCGACCAGTTGCTGTTGCTGTTGTTGTTGTTGCTCATGAAGCTCGGTTGGCACATGACTGTCGACATGATCGGGCTCTTCGACAGACTCGATCTGCTCAACGAGTTCAGCAGGTTCCTTCAGCTCCACCTGCGCGTGTTGCTCGACAGGCTCCGGTTCGATCACCTGTTTATTCTGCTCAACATGCTCAATCTCAGCCTCTTTCAGCTCATCCTGCTCATGCAGCTCAATGTGCTCCACCAGCTCTCGAGTGAGGTCCTCAACTGATGCTGCAGGCTTAGCTGTGGCAGTGTCGTCTTCCGACTCCAAGTCGAGACGCGTAGTCTCCGCCGTGATAGGTGAGTCCATGACTGATGACAGCTCAGAGGAGAGAGACCGGGGCACCGAAGATCGGATGTCATCCTTGGCGTAGCTCGTCTGGACAGACTGGAACGACTCGGGTCGAGTTTCGGTTGCTGCATCAACAGAGATGATGGACTGGCGGACACGATCAGGGTAGCGCGCCTCATCGATAGTGTCCTGAAGCTCGGACAGCTTTCGCATAGCCTCTTCATACTTGGCGTGCAGTCTACCATAGTCGTGAACGGTCGTGTCGTGCTCGGTTCGAAGGGCGAAGAGTTCTCGGGTTACCAGCTCCAGCTTGTCCGAGACAAATTTGGTCTGTGCAGAGGCCTGGATTTTAGCTGCTTCGTCGTTGGCAGGTTCGTCCGCAACCACCCCGGCTCCCGAGTTAATGGCGGCGTCTTCGTCTTTTTCCACGACAGGTTCGAGCTTCGACTTCGCATCTTCATCTCCATTCTCCCGGGTGTTGACTGGGGAGGATTCGTGGTCCCTGCCATCTCTGGGATCCTCGCTCGCTGCAATGTCGGAGCTCCGTATTTTGGACTCGTCCACATGGTCAAGCTCGTGCAGCAAGGCGTCCAGCTTGCCCAGGCTCCGTTGCCTCTCAATGACTTGCTCGAGACGCTCAATCTCTCGCTGCATAAGCTCTGCATCTTGATCAGCCTCGGCGAGCCTCTCCTCCAGAGTGGAGATATAATCCTCGCTCGCCGCCTCGTTTTCGCGAATGCGGAAAATTTCTTTACGCAGCTCAACGATGATGGCCGAGTTCTTCTCCTCGCCGCTGGTGTGGCCATCCAGTTTGGCCTCCAAGTCGTGAAGGTAGCTTTCGGTGCTGGCTTCGCGGTCCGTGAGCTTCTGGATACGAGACTGCAGCTG